CACAGTCCCCGCTACACACACGCACAAACCACTCACGAGCCGCAAATTGAGCTGTGCCGCAAATTGATCGGTGCCGCAATCGGGGGGGCGAGGGGGGGGGGAGGGCGTTGTTCGTCCCGCGGCTACGAAGCCCGACGTGAAGCGGCGGCGGCGGCGGCGGCTTCGGAGTCGACGAGGCCTGGCCGCTCGAGGCCTTGCGAGAGCGGTCACCGATGTGGACGAGGCCTAAGGCACCTCGGGGGCACGGGTGGCCGTGCTCGCCGCGCACCGGCTTGCCGCGAGCGGGGGGGGGGAGCCCGTCTTCCCCGTGCAATGCTGGGGGTCTCTGCCGAAAAGCCAATTAAGCTCAGCATATTTACACCGGGTGTGTTTGGAGAAGGCGGGATTAGTTAGCCGTGAGTGCACGTGTGTGTGCGCGCGCATGCGCACGCTCGTGACTTGTTACCACATCTGAGTTGACCTACGCTGTTTTTTTTTACTTTATTATCTGGTTATCCTAACATCACAGTCATCTTACCGCCTTGACTCCCCCAATGCCCCCACTGCCCTCAGACATCCACCGAGGGCATTAGCACTTCAATTAGCGTCCCAGTCATGGAGGAAACTTTGGGGGGTCAATTCGCTCCCAACCGGTCGTGGCCGATGCGGCACACGCGTACAGGCGAGCGTAACGCGCCTGTGCGCCTGGCGTGGCTTTTACGGTGCCGGGGAGATGTACTGCGTTCTGGATATTTAATGGGGTCTCGTTTATTATCGGGCGGTAAAAGTGACAAATGCGTAAATGGTGGCAGTAGCGTGCGTAACGATTGCGGTTCGGAGCGTTCCTCGTCTTAAAAGACTTTATTGGGGCCAAAAGAATACGTGCTCACGATGTACTGTTTTACGCGTGTACGAGGAGCAGCAGGAGAGCATTGAACACATGGGGATTCTCTCAGCAGTTGAACCAACCCATTGTTTAGCCTTGGCTTTTGAAGGTCCCTTCTCTATTATGATTATATGCTGGAATTTAATTATCGTGTTCAGGTAATGCGAGGGCTATTGGGCGTGTTTGTTCATTGCATTATATGCGGCTCCCACGAAACTTTTTCGTCAGTTTTCCTCCGTGCATGCGTACAATTTATCGTGCCATTTTAATAAATTGGCTGCACGTCAGAGTAACAGTGCACCGTACATTTTTAAACGCCTTCGTACAATGTACAACACATGTTTCCCTTGCAAGACACAAACAACCCAATCATGCAGATCTGCACTCTCTGCACTTGCATTAAAAGCTCGCCCGGCAGTTTAATCACCCGGTTAACAAAGACCAGTTTAAGGGGTGTCAAAACATGGCGTGAGCTTATAAAACATTAAAATCCAATTATATTCGCACATCCAGCCGCATTAATTAATAAAGCCGCGGTTTTCGGCTGTCGACGGTTGACCAACGCCCCTCCGCCGCTCCTGGATGGCAAACGGCGCCAACGCCACCGTCCCGTTCGCTTGTTCGTTCGTTGGTTCCTTGACGCGGCTCCCTCTGCTGCCTCTGCATCGCTCTCTACCCTGGCCACTTGAAAAGCGACTGCGCGCGCGTGTGCACGTTCATATCTCGCGGCGAACTGGGGCGGGAGAGAGCTTGCGAGCGCCTTGCGTTGGCGTTGCCTACGCATTTAAAAACAAAAAACCGTTCGCTCGCTCGCTCGAGGTCGAAGACGTTTTGGAGATATCCCCGGTTGTGCGGCGTGCGGCAGAAGAGGTCAAAGTGTTATAATGAAACTGACACTGCCCTACCAAATGCACGGCTTACTTTGAATCTCGAGCCGTGCGGTGAAACGACACCTGACGTCGCGTAGATGCAGTCCGGGTGTCCCGCAGGTTGACTCTCCTGAAACGTAGAGAACGGTCAGTTTAAGACGTAGGAGGCTTTCGCAACCAATATCATCCATAATACAGGCTTTTTGGGTTAGATCGCGTAAATATATAAACTTGCCGTTAAACCCGCCACCACCCGACACAGCCAAATCAGTAAGGTTTTTCAGATTGTAAATATTGTACTCGGGATGTAAATGTTGTGGCTTGGCTCTCCAACACACCAGTGTGCTGTACTAGCGTAAAGTAGCTCTCGGAGACACCGTCTTGTCTTTCTGTATATTTATCATGAACAACGTCCGCTGACAACTCAACGAGTGACCACGAGTGACTATATACACTTGGGAAGTTCGACGTCTTTGTTCTGAGATGGCATAGCTCTAGTCTGAAGACAACTCGAAGACGATGGGGACGATCTCCACTCTTGTCACACTTTCCCGCCATTAGATCCCGTGCTGCCCCTCACGTGACCCTGTCAACGCTCGTCCAATCGTCAATCATCATGAGCACGTCCATTAGTAACCATGGTCCCGGGGAACCATACTGTCCCTCTATCGCTCCGTACTCTCTTTACACTCGTAACGAATTGGCATGTTCTGTTCATGTGACGAGCTTTACTAATTGTCTGTGTCGGGTGGGGTGGCAGGTTTAACGGCAAGTTTATATGTTTACGCGATCTAACCCAAACAAAACTGTATTATGTAGAGAACGGTATTTACACGCGTCCGCAATGGCTGCCAATACGCTGTCGTGGAAACTTTTGTTTCACCTCCCTTCACGATCAGAGCTCCCGTGCGACGCGTCACAATGTACGGATACGGAATGTCAGCTACATGGGCGAAAGGGAGTTCGTTTAGTTGGAAAGTGACCGACCGCGCAACGTTTCGCGCAGCGGAGGGCAGAACGGAAAAGTCCGTAGTTTGTTTCTATGCTTTCCCCGCCTTCACCACCGACCCGCACTGGTCAAATAACCGCCATGACTCACGCACGGCGTGGCGAGGCCCCTCATCTAGCAGTGAATTGACAATTGCTATATCAATTGGGAAGTTGACCGATCTAGGAAACGGTGAGAAATGCCACGTCTGTTGTTGGGTCCTCCGAGCGGCTCGTGATGCCATCGTTGGAAGCGCAGGGCCACAAATCTGTCGCCTCTGGAGCGGTGCGAGGAAGACTACCGTCATTTTTTTTAAACATGTCTTCCTCGCGTCACCAATTGTCACGCGCCGCGTGCGCCTTGAAACAAACGACAGCTTTCGTGCGGATGCGGCATCGCGCGTGACTTTGAGTGGCGGCATTGGGGCGGACCCCAGGGTTAATTGCTTTGGATTTTGATGGATTTTAGTCACTTTTTTTTTTTAAAGATCCCAGATTGCCTTGTCCCCACGGGTTTAGCTGAGCCTCTCATTCCCGCACCCCAGGAGCCACCGGGGTCACGCCGAAAGGCGCGCGCACAAAAGTTTTATTTTGCGCGCAAAAAACAAATATTTTGTTGTCATCAGCGTCGGCCATGATCGATCTACTGCTGGGTGATTGCCTCACCAAGCCCGTCGCCATCTGTGACGGTCCCACAATGCAATAATCCACCAAGCTCCCCGCACGCGATCCGATTTCGAAGCTCCGCCTCCGTGGTGCACGTGCTCTCGGGTGCATTGCCTCCTTCGGCTGCCACTCCGTCATTAGTCTCGACACCCGACCATCATCCCAAGCCCACTCACGTTTTATTTTACTTGCAGCCAATACAGCATTTTTTATATATATATCAAATCTGGCTCGCCAAGTTTCCTTCCTTGCCCGTCTGTCTCCCGTCGTTGTCCACGTGCCGGCGAGTCGCAGGCGTTCAGCGCCGTGTGTCCGCGCCATGCGCACGCAGACGGAGCCCCGCGGGAGCCCAGCCTTCCGGACCGCGTCCCACGGCATCCCCACGCCAAACATCCTCAGCTCGACAACTCCCCTCGTTATCCGCCTCCCGTCAACTCCCATCTCTTACGGGGCTCTTCCCCCGCCACCCTCCGGCCCACCCTGCCGCCTCCTCTTCCAGCATCCCTTGCACGACGCACACACGCACGCACACCCCCTCCAAACCCCTTCGCAGTCCCCTGCGGGCGTTCATCAATATTTAAGGACGCCTGTGATTGAGTCTGCACCGGGGGAGAGGACACCTCCGCTGCACGCTCGATTATCCCTCGGGTCAAGGTCCGGCCCGGCTGAGAAGTTTGCCGCATTTTCCAAAGGGGGGGGGGGGGGGGGAAATCTCTCATTTGATGGTGGAAACGAGGGAACTGGCGGGAGAGGGCGGGAGGAGAAGGGGGGAGCGGGTGGGGGGGAGGGCGGGGGGTGGTACAAAGGGCATGGCGATTAACGGGGCTTTGTTGACCTTTGCGCCCAAGCATTTGCCCAGGGGGGGGAGGGGCGACCTTCGTAAAATAAAAGTTGCGACGTGCATTTGCTGCGTCAACCCATTACCCGTACAGACGGGCGGCCTCCGTGTTCCCCCGTCAGCGGCCCACGGGCCGCACTGACGGGCCCTGGAAACGGCGAGCGAGGATCGTTGGAGCCGGCACTTTCAATGGCCCCCCGCGCATGTACACCCATAAGCCCCCAATTTGCTGGCAGGCACCACGAACAGCATGATTGGGAAGGAAAGGGTGCAGTTATGAATTTAAATCTGATTGAAGTGGGCACGGAGCTGATTTTCAGCCCGTTTTGGTTTGCGGTGTTATGGGCAGGCAGGAGATGGTAGTGATGGGGTCAACTGGGAACTGGTTATTGATGTGTTGTGTGTGCGTGTGTGTATATGTGTGTCTGTGACTGTGGCTTTGCATTGCAAATTTGCGTGTGTCTGCAAGTGTTATGTGTATTTTTCATTTTTGTGCATGAGCGTGTGTCTCCGCGTTTATCTGCGTGTATGTGCACATCTGCGTGTACGTCCCTGCCAGCCTCATCAACCGCTGAAGCCATAACACCTGAGTGTGACCTCTACCTCCTACCAGCAAACTTTTGACACTTGGCACAGCCACATAGGAACGCACGTAGCCTGGCGCAAGCGCCGTGGTGACATTGCTTACCGATGAAATGACAGTCGTTGCAGTTTGTACGTCTGTGCGAGCGTGCGCGTCTTTGTCTTTGTGCGTGCGCCGCGTTTGCGCGGTCAGGTACGTGGACGAGGTGATCACACGCATGGATCGTCTGTTCGGCGACATGTCATTCACGCTGTCGAGGCCCAGCGGAACATCGGCCATCGTTGTGGTGAGCTCCACTCCCCTCCTTCGCGTACCGCCCGCCCAAATCCAGCGCTCGTCAGCTCCACGGATCGCTGGGCGCGTTCGTAGTGTCATCGGCAACTCATTGACCAATAATGTCGCTTAACGCAGGGCACAGCGCAGCAGCCGTGTCGCGATCTGCCGATTAAAATTGATTCGTATGATTTGTATTTATATGGTGCCTGAATACAACTACACCTCAAGATGTGGTTACAACTACAAGCTGACGTATACATCATATAGATGGTAATATATTGTGCGTGTATATTGAACAGGAGCAGGGAGTCGGCAGCACGGATGACGGGTGTAAGGCAGTTCCATTTTGTGAGAGGGGGCAGCTGAAGAGATACGTGCACTGAAATCGCATTTGTTGAAAGTCAGTTATTTACGATGCGTGCAGATATTCTGAAAATGGTGTGCAAACGATATATTTTCGATAGCGGAGGGTAATACGAACCAGACGGAGAGAAGAAGCAACGACAAATGAGGTGGAAAATTTTCGATTCAAAATTATTGACTCTTGCATTGAATCACGAGTCTGAATAAACTCATTGAATCGCTGGCGGGGCAATGCTTCCTCGTAACTACATCGATTTCATCGATTCACTTTTGGTTTGCCACGCTCGCGATGCCTGCATTTAAATCGCGCATGTAAGATTGCGATGTGTGCGATTTAGGCAAATGGTGTGCGAACGCTACGTTTAAATCGACAATTCAGCCAATGGGAAGGTGGCTGTCACAAACCTCTCGTGGGCCGTTTGCTTGTTGCCCCCACCGCTATCGTTTCTTCTCTTCCTCATTCTCATTCTTTACTCCCCCCCACCCCTCCTGCTCTTCTGTCCATGGCCTGGGCACCGTGCGGGAACATTGTTACGGAAGCGTTAACCTTCATCATCCCTTGTGTATCGGCCAAGGTGTGGATGCAATCAGTGCGGCTACACGACCTTTGTGTACCCGAGTCCCTTCATTATTTACCCTGCGTCCTTTTGTAATAAAAGAAAGACCGTGCCATATTAAAGTGGAGGGACACAAAGCAAAAAAAAAATCATATACAATATATATGAAGAAATAAATCCCTCCCGAGATGAGAATGGAAGTTGAGCCGCTGTATTGTGGAGTCTGGTCACGGTGGTGAGTTTGCCTTTAATTAAGCAAGACACAGGGGTGGCAGGCAGCGGTGGGAGATGGGCGGGTGGTGGGCTGGTAGCCCCTTCCCCGTGCCGTCCCGGTGGGTTTGGACTGTGCGATGCCTGACCGTCCGTACGGTTGGACCCAAGCATCGGCTGAAATTACACAGTTCGCAGAATTCCTCCGTGTACGACCTGCGAGCTTCCAGCTGCACATTTCTTGACGTCAGCCGGCGCCTTCCTCGCCCAGGAGCCGCGTGTAACGGGGCTTATTATTATCATAAGGAGCACCGCGTTTGTTTTTATCTCGCTGATGATTAGGGACACGCACGTTTGGAACGAAATGAAGGATTTGTTTGTAAATGGGGGCGAGGAATCCGTAGAGACCAATGCGACGGTCGCTCTCGAGAGGTGAAATATGGTAAAAGAATGCAAGGTAGACAAAAACAAACTCGTGCTCCAAGATTTTGTAGGAAACTGGCTGGAAGATTAAATGAATGAAATTTGAAGAACACATTCTACAGTCGATGCTATTATTATTAATATTACGTTTAGAAATCCTCACCGAGTTTCAAGTTTCTGTTTTAAGAGGATCCTGCCAAGTGTTGTGTGTAGTCAGGGGAGAGATATCGCTGTTATGTGTAATCCCAATTGAGTAATGTGCAGGTAAAATTTCAGCATTGGTATGTTTTTTTGGCCAATACCAGTTACATTGTATGCATGTTTTGCTATGGGTAGGAACCAAGAGAACATGCAGGAAACCCATGCAACACATCGGGAATAGAACCCAGGACTTTCTTGCTGTGAAGCACAAGCATTACCTCTGTGCCACTCTGGCTCGAGCTGCAGTAAATTGAGACCTCCTTATTGATTGATTGATCAGTGATATATATTGGTAGGATTGTAACGATTCGTTGCTTAATAACTGACGCTTAAGCTCACGATACATTAAGCGGGTAGCTTGCGTATAAATCGGTGTTTTTCTGTAGCCAGCAGTGACCGCTACATTCAAAAAGAATGTCATCATAGAGAAAAGGAGAATTGGTTCTTGGATCGAACGTGGAAATTCACCCAATTGGCAGTGGTGGAGGCGGATTGACTAATTGTGCCTAATCTGTGTTGCTTTTGAAGAAGACCACCTTCGTATAAAATGCTACGTTCGCCTACATTGGAGCTCATCGTTATCCCATGAAAAGGTCAGTGTGTAGTGACATCGCGGATGTCGCTGCAATGCCGGCCCGAGAGAGGCACGGCACGACGTGCGATGTAGCGACATCGTGGGCACCACTCACTCACATGTGGGTGCAGTACTGTCAGTCAGCGGTGAACGCTGACTGACAGTGCTGGATGGAGCCACGCTCTGTGTGCAGTGCCGACCCCTACAGGATGGGGTGTGAGAGTGCCGGCCATGGGAATGGGGTTACTAAGGGCCATGGCACTCTGGCTGACCCTAGAGGCCACGTGACCGGTAAAGTCTACACAGGGCCCCCAGGTGGGGGCTAGGGGTGGTCACGTGTCAGGGTGGAGATCCTGCTCGAGGATTCTAGAAGGTGGTCGTGGCTAAGGGTGGGGCCAGCCACGCCACAGAGGATACAAGCCGGGTCCCCGAGAGGGACCGGCTGCTCTTGTTCATCCTGAAGAATCTACGTTCTACATCCTACAGAGTCACCAACACGTGGACCGGGACCCAAGCTGTGGTCCGGTCCGTTGTAGCCAGTTACGGTGTAGTTAGTACAGTTAGCCTGGTGGTCCACCACCATAGGTTGTTATCTTGTTAAGGGGCAGTTACCCCATGTGTTGGTATTAATAAATGTGTTGCCTCCAAGAAGTGCGTATGCGACTCAGTTGAACTCACTACAAATGCATCAATATACATTCTAATCCAGATAGACCCTTAATGGGAGAGCACGCTTCTCTGTTTGATACGTCTGGTCGTTTGGGGACACATTAAGAGTGCCGCAGTCGCTGATCAACACCGGGATCGAACACGCCATCGTCGTCAGCCTTGATCAATCCGCTGTTGGATGAAGGCCCTCCCCGAGCCACCGCCGGCTCTCGCGGTCCGCCACTTGTGACGTTTCACGTAACGGACGTGTCACCGCCTCTCAAATCGTCACGGCACCACGAATCAATTTGTTCGTCAAAAGTGTTGAGGTTTTAATTGCCCTACAAGGTCAAAGAATAACGCGCCCTCCTTGAATTAAATACGCAAGAAAACAAACAGCTGTTGCGAATAATTACGCAGCTGTTCCACGCGTCTCCATTTTTAACCCCGCTTTTCTCTAATGTGGGGGGGGGGAGAATGTCTTCAGCGCGACACGTGGGCAGCTTATCGTTTGCGCGTGATTTGATCGGCTAAGTAACGAGGTTGCATTGTGCGCCGCGGATATCTCTCCCTACAATTTGATTTGCACATCGTCCTGGCCCCTCTCGTGAATCGTTAGTTTATTTTTTGTTATTCTTGCTGTTGCATTTTTCTTTTCTTGTTTTAAATAAGCAAGTACAATTCTTTTGCAGCGTAATCTCTCCAATAATGGAAGCGTTTGGATTTGTCACGGTTCATGGCGCATTGTTGCCAAGCGCAATGCGTCCCCCCTCTCCCCCCCCGCCGCTAATAACGGGGGCGTAGCGAGACGAGCTCCGCCGGATTACCGCGTGACCTTCCGCAAGGCTGGCAAAGTCGTGGTGGGTTTTTTTCGCCTTCACGGCACGGCTTATTATTATTACTCGTGCCGGTTGGCAGCACAGGCCACGCGTTGAATAGAGCTGCGTGTTATTACGGAGCGCCTCCACCCGCTCCCCCCCCCCCGCCCCTGTTTAAATTAACCAGCACGCTGTTGTGGAAATCCGCCAGACCTTTTCGTGAAGATTTTTTTGTTTGTTAACTCCGTTCCTGTTTAATTTCATCTCTTCTTCGAAATCATCCTTTGGCACGCGCGCGCCGCTAAAAGCCCACGACCGTCTGTTTGCAAACTGGGTCCAGCCGACGAGAGGGACTGCACTTGTTACGCGACGTGTTATACGAGTCTGCGTGTGTGCAGTCTACGATTGTGCGCACGCCTTTTGGTATATGATGTAGCTGAATCGGTAGCATCACAATTATGGCAATCACCGGGACCACGTGTGGGTGCGCGTGCTCTTACGTGTAGCTGTGACGAAATGTGAAATATTACGATGCACACGTTACCCCTGGGATCTGTTTAAAATCTCTACTTCTGATACTCGTTTTTCACTGATCATTACGGTGGATGTGTTATGCGCATGCAGATTTCACAGGGAGCAGCAAATTGAGTTGGCCTTGCCACCGCTGTGTTCTTCACGTTATCATATTTAATACGTATATATTGTTGTATTTCATCACGTCTTCATTCGTGCAGTCTGTTTAAGGGACAAGGTCATCCGTGCTAAAACACCTGCATTTAAAGTCCCGAACGGGAAGCATAATGGATAGAAAATGAATTTCGCACGAAGTAATGCTGCGTCAAAGGGCACGATCATTCGAATTGCATCGTGTGTGCTTTCATCCGAAATGGGAATGAGAAACTGCGTGTTTGGGAAACCTTGTAAGTTATTTTTAGAATGCACCCTCGTGCTGCATTAAAACTGCGCCGAATGTTTAGCGGAGTTGCTGGCCGTGGGTAGCGGCCGTGGCTGGGAATTATCCACGCTCGCCAATCCAAGGTGCACCTCATCCCCCTCTGGGAAGAGGCTGCCGCTGGCCTTTGTGATGAATTTTACTTCATGTTAACTGGTGCACGCTGGCGGTGACATGTCCGCGCGTGTTCGTGTGTGGATGCGTGCTGGCACGTGCGTGTGGGTGGAGTGGGATGTGACAAACTGTAAAATATTTGAACCATCCTGGGCCTTTCCAAGGTCGACTCGGCCTTAAATGAATACCAGGTGCTTCGTGTAAACATCAGCACTTGGAAGACAAAGGCGGCCAGGCGTGTGATGCTGGCCGGCCTTCATAAGTGCTCGCTAACGGCATTTGCCCCAACAGTCTATTAAGACTATGGGGGGGTTCTTTGTCTTCGTACCTGTGCGTGGGAGCATGCGAGTGCCAACCCGTGTGTGTGCCTATGCACGTGCGTCGGCAGATCTCCCTGGGGAAGGTGCTTCGAGCGCTGGTGGTGATGCGCAGCCTCATCCTGGAGCGTGTCGTTGTCAAGGCTCTTCACGAGAACATTCAAACCGAAGATGGCAAGGTACGACCCCGGGGCTGCGTTAGCAAAGGGGCCGACGTTGCCCCTGGCCCTTCTACCCCGGTCCGAGAGGGGTGAGGGTCAGAGGGGCAGGGAGAGCTGTCGAGGGGCGCGGGGGACCTTCTAGACTAAGCTATTCGGCGGCCACGAGGTCAATTTTGCGAATGCAGCTTTCGTTGACGTGGGCGTGAAGCCTTTCAAGGTTCACGGCCCAGTGTGCAACAACTTTGACCTCGGCTGCATTCGTGTGGAGGCCTCCGATGGCCCGGTGCCACCGTTGTTTTGCACCCAGTCCCGCACCACACACGCCATTCGCCTTCGCGTTTTGTGTCACATTCGGCAAAAGGAATTATTAAAAGGTCCGATGAGAGTGATTGCATTAATCTCCTAAGCCATTCACCGAGGGTGTTTGTGATTTTTGTGTTATTGCCGCTGGGAGAATTTGTTTTCCCAACTGTGCGCATAGTAGAGTTATTTATATGAACGCAGTGCACATTAACCAGGCGAGAGCTGATTTCCAAAGGAGACTTGGGTGGATACGCAAGGGAAGTTATGAATTTTTGTTGGCAAATTTGTTTTAAAAAAAATGTCACAATTGGTATGTTGATTATAACTTACACGCACACGGTCTTGATTCTGGAGATAATTTCTCAGGGTCTTTTTAGTCAACTTCACAGCAAAAACGTATTTATCGGTGTCCTGTAAAATTAATCCGTAAAATGTATTGGGTGGCCAGAGTAGACGCTAATTTCTGCCTCTTTTGCAAGCGGACTGCTTCCTGCACGTTTAGGCCTGCTTCTGAATGGTAATTTGGTCACCGGTTGATCTGGAGTGTTGCACTCGAATCGCTGCACGCTACATATTATGGAGGAAAAACAATTACGCGGAGAACTGCTAATAAAAATTTCAACACCGCATTCCATGCGGCATGAGTTGAAGGGGTTAACGCTTGGAATTGGAGTGAAAAACCTCATATCAAGGTCATGCAAATATTGTGCCGTTGCCAGACAAGCATCTGTCAGGTCGGGCGCATGCCTGCTGCGATGTTTTTTAAAATGAAAAATTGCCCGCAATAAATTTCCCGCCACGTCCCAGAGATTTACACGAGTTGTTTAGCACCAATTATCGTTGTAATGGCACAGACCATTTAAGTCGGACCCAACCCCCCGCTTCAGCGACGGCGTTTCATTTCACACCACCCACCGGCACGTCTCGTACATCCAACATTTGCCCTCGCTACCCCGTTACCTTTGCGGTAGCGGCTAAATTGAAATTGATTAACTTTTAAATAAATAATTATACACTCGGCGCGCGCCGCCGTAGCTTTGAGGAGGCGCTGCGGCTATAAATGCAGGTTAAGCTTTGGCCCAGGGCTCTTCCCCTCTCGGGGTTTCTTCGTATTTATATTTTTCCTCCGGGCAGCTGATTGATGGGAGAGTTGGGTTCCTCGTGGGCGCTCTGTGTAGCGACTCCGCCGTGTTTGCGAACACGGCCGGTTTCTCCTCTCGGCTCGCGGGGAGGAATTTGCCGCGTGGCCTCTGGCGCCTCGGAGATGGCCTCGTGCCACCCTTCCCTCCTCTGTCGCCTGGAAGTTCCCCTTGGGTCTTTATTGAGGAGGCGATAGCCCCGTCGCTCGATGGCGACTCCCTGCCCCCACCTGCTGGCCGTGCCTGCATCACGGCCGAACGGGAATGTTGAGTGGCTCGTGTCGGAATTTGGGTTGTTTATTCTGGAGGAATCCGATGAGCTGTGAGGCTCACAACAACAAACAATCGAAAAATTACGATCGGAGTGCAAAGCAGAGAAGAGGTAAGCAAGTCACTAATCCTAAATAAATAACAACGTACACAGTGTAAATACAAATTAGAGAAGCATCGACCACGTGAGAAACGATGCGATAGCGTATCATAGTCATCGTCGTTGTTATCACTTTATTGTCTACTATTGCACTTTTACATACCAAAATTATACGAATTCCACCGAGAGACAGGCAGTGGAACGCATGGATTAGAGAACATACGAAAGCTATGAACGTCACATCGACTGGAGGAGAGTAAGTGGGCTTGGGCAGGATTGCGTCACTCGAAAGGACGCTGATGGGTGGTCGAGGATAGTGACGGAGAGGCAGCAGCCCACGTGAGGGGAACATGCCCCAGAGTGTCCGTCGTGGAGGTGGGAGCGATGAACTCGGCTCATGTGCAGATAGGCGTTGGATTGGATTGTTGCTGTGCAAGACTACAACAGATGGCGGCGGCCTGGGAGAAGCCTTCGACCAGCGGTGGTTAGATCACGGCTGATATTAATGACATACAACCACGAGGCAGTTTGTATACTTGCACATGAACAAAGCGGGAGCGATAATTTTAAGCAATCAAGAGAAAACCCAGTGGCCAAGAATAGTAATTATATTATCAACGTAACTAAACCACTTTTTCATGACCAAAGTGAAGAATTCATTATGTATGTAAGTTGAACTTTCGCAATGTACGTAGGCAACCGTGTTAGTCGGGGAAGGACAACAAACGAAGCACAAAAAGCCATTGTAAAGAAATGCGTTTTCAATTGAGATTTAAACTATAAAAACAAAACAATGAATCAAAATGTAACCTGTGCCTTTGATTTAACGTACTGTTTATGTTCTACAAGGGAGGCTTGGCTAACTTCGAAAAAAACGTACACAATGAATGTCATTAACGCTACCTTGTTATAATATTTTCTGTTATTGTTTGTTATATCTTGCTGACCCGTGCCTATTGAGCTTCTGTGACAAAGAGCTTCATAGCCCATCGGATTCCTCCAGTCTAAATAAAGATTCTGATTCTGAATTAAATTCATAAGGCGCCATTTCAGCAATGGATCTCGGAGCGCCATGCGTATGAAGGAGGAAAATCGGTGAGATGTAACCGGGGCGAGAAAGACTAAAGAGACGAGATATGATCTAGAGGAGAGAGAGGGGGGGCGGTGTTAAACAGGTGGTGGGGGTCTTCAGCAGGGACTTAAACGTCTTCGTCATCGCCAACTTCCTGACCTACCAAGGGCAAAAAAAAATGTGAATGTCGCAGTATGCCCATCAAATAGAGCCTAACAGCTTATTGAACCATTCCTGCTGAAGTAAATAAGATGTACCTTATCTATCTAATGTGAAGAACATCTACGGCTCAAAATATTACCAGACTGTGTTAACGACGCACCGAGTGAGGTGGAGGTTTTTCCTCGTTAATTTGCACTGGCAAACCACAGCCAACACATTACCGTTATTGTTTATTTTTGTTTCCACATGAAAAAGCCGTTTCGTGTGGCGCGTAATTTAACTGCCCGCTATTTCCCAGTTTTATATTTGACTTTGACACGATCACGTCACAGTGGAAGATTGTGGTTTTTTTTTATTTTCACCCGTTAAGTGCTCACTTTTCAGAAGAAGATGGGGGTGTTATTTATTTCTTATTTTTTTCAAAAGTGTCCGTACATTATCGAGTGGCTGGCTGCAGGAATCAAACTGCCCCCGCGTCATCTGGCTCGATAACGATGCCACTGATTGCCGGAGTGGCTGCTTCTCCCAGCTGATTTTTGTCTGCATTGTTTGCATTGCTTCTCCCCGCGGTGAACCCTGTCATTATCGCCCCCCCCACCCACTACAGTTGGATTTGTGGTCCAAATCGCGTTACCTGGTATTTCAAAAGGTATGGCTTTTTATTATTATTTTCCTCAAACGTTTCTTCCGTTGTGTGTACACTTTTTTTGAGAGAAGATGATCAGCAGATAGGATCGGCTGATCTTTAGAACAAAAGCCTGAGCTCGCACACGCATTTTACACATTTCAGAAAATGTGTTCAAAGAGCAAGTGTCCGTATTATCTCAAAGCCGGAAAAATTGTACAATGCACTCGCGGCAGAAGGGCAGAGCGGGGCTTTTTTTTCTTCCATTTCGTAAATTGCAACCGGCGGTGTAATTATGGAGGCAATGCTATGCGTCACTTTCTACGTTTTAATTTATCACAAAATCCAGAGGAAAAAGACGTCTGCGATTGTGGCTCGGCGACGCGTCTGTTATTACTTCCACCGCTGTAAAAATATTGTGTGTTTGTGCACATGCATTATTGCGGCTGCCACTCATTGCATCACTTTTAAAATACTTGCAGCTCATTTGTAAAGCCCTTTGAAATATTCTGTCATTTCAAAGCAATTGCCGTACACACAGAAAAATGTAATTTATGGATTGTAGCTTTGTAAAAATCTCCTTCGGCTATATTTATAGATGTCGGAAGCACGGTGTACATTTTGTGTGAGAATATATTTTGACAATGGAAACATCGTTTTATTTCCATAATTACTCTCGTGCGGGTTTGCGGAGACAGTTTAAGTGTTACGCGTTAAAGGAAGGCTTATCCGTGTCCAGCTTTAAAGTTCCTTTTGGAGAGGCACCAACTGGTTTTTTTTTTCAAAGTCGGACGATGCTTCTATTGATGTGTCCTCTTGCTTTAGATGTGAACATTTAATTGAATGAAAAAATCAAACAGATACCAACCAATTTCCTTGCCAAGCAAAAGAGAACGCACATATATTTTCAGGCACTCAGATTATTTTTGTTCATTGTGCTCAAAAACTCACTCTGCTTGTCCATTTAATTAAAACGATTGCAGACCTTGCGCTAAATATGTCTGTTGGAATGTCAACACACTGAATGTTTAATCATTGCCGTGTCTGTCCCATAATATGGGGGGGGGGGGGGGGGGTTTGAATTGTTGAAAATGGTTGGTGTTGGCTTGGTAACCAATTTATTTTGATAAGAAGTGCCTGGAAACAGAGTCAATATATTTTTCCCTAACCCTAACATTATCGTTTCAGGTGACTGATCATGCCACAGCTGCCTCTCTGCACTATCAGCTCCCACATTTGCCAGAAGTAGTCATCCGCTCTTTCATGGTAAGGAATGTTTTAACAGTTTTTTAACGAAGGTTGAAAGCATTAATTCATAAGCTCTGTCCGTCCGTCTGTCTATAGAGTGGGTCAGCACGACAACTCTCATAAAGATGAACCAATATGAACAGAATTTCAGTAAAAAGTTGTTGAGCAATGAGCACTTTTCCCCGAGAGAAAACAGGACCGAATTGATGGAAGCATTGTCCAAAGCTTGGTGATAAAAAAAATCCAGGATTATCCTTATCAGTTGAGGCAATGACATCATTGCAGGTGATATCATCTTTCTGTCACGCATCATGCACGCTCCTCACCTCCCGATGACGTCATTGCACGTTAAGCCATCGTTGTGCTGGTGTGAACGTGTAATTATTGCCGCTAATGAAATACTTCCGAGGGCAAACGCTTGTTGGAAGGCGTCACCGAATCTGTGTGCTTTCCATAATGTGTGTTGCTCGTTTAATTTTGACACCTTCAAACATTGCCGTGTAGTGTTTTATGAGGGTGTGAATGCCGATTGGATTATCCCATTTAATTCCCTCCTAGCCAGGTCCTGCACCTCTCTTCATTATCACACATAGCACTTTCACAATCCTGCATAGATATTTAATCCCCCGTAACATACATTTCAGTCAGGTCGACGATCCTTAAAATATTTCCGCACCTGGCACCACCACATCCAGTATACCTTTCGCTATGGGCAGTGGCTACTTTTGTCACGTTCCGCTGACTCTATTCTCCCAAGTGACTCGGAAAATTTCGAGTGGAAAATTAAGCCCCGATTGTACCTGCTCACTTAGATAACCTTTGACCTGTATCCTGTTTCTTGCAGATGTGGATGCACAGCTACATTTCTTTGTTCCAAAGCACGTGTCAACGCTGCGGCAAGCAGCTGCAGGATGGGCTTCCGCCAACGTGGAGAGATTTCCGCACCCTCGAGGCTTTCCACGACACCTGCCGCCAGTAGCACACACCTGAGCGTCTGGGAGGACCGTGGGGTAGAATGTTGAACCCAGGTTCGATACGTTTGTACTCGACCGTCCGATGTGGTTTTCGGGTTGTACCGAGTGTTGTTCAGCGCGATGTCCTGATGTTTCGCTCCACCTGCTGGGAGATTTTTTTGGGAATTGAATTGAGCAGCCCACCTACACCGTCAATCCTATAGTGTTGGCCACTGTTGATGATCTTGCTGGTTCCATTTCGCCGAGCTCAGCTTTCTGACATATGGCCGGCCAGTGGGCGTATTTCGCTAGCTGGTGCACGGAAACGTCGAGAATCATGCCAATCAGCACATGGTACAACCCAAAAACACATCGGAGACCTATAAGGTTCAACCGCATAAAACCTACGTGGTAAATGTTGTACTTTCCGGTATTTTTTTTGTCCATGTACAGCATTTTGTCAACCGACGACTGGATGAGGGCCTGTCCACGCCGTGCCGGTCGTTGGGGTTATTTAACCATAACTTGACCACAGTGCTGATTGGTGAAAGTAACCAGTTTCATAGCACGTGATTTAGCACAGTGCGCTATAACATGTGGGAGTACCTCAACACTGTTACCCTACCTATACCAATCGTCAAGCTGTGGTACAGACAAACACTTGCCCAGTGCTCGAACTGCCGTGCTGCCGGGAGATGGAATCGAAGCGGCGACCTCTGGATCGCAAAGTCGAGTGCGCTCACCATCACACCACGGCAGCATCCACATTAAAGCCACGTACAATAACTTGAGGTTCATATTGATGATTCTTGTAGAAACTGACGCGCATGCATTCACATTGGAGCCTGGCACGGCAGCGCGTAGTAATTGTGGTACAGAATTGTTAGTCTTGGGGGTAATTAGGTAACCACTCAATTAGTAACAGATGGGGAGAGGGGGGGAGTTGGGTCTTTCAAATTGTTAATATTTACTAGGCAGCGTTTTGCATTTAATAAATATACCACGTGGCCATATTTTGCTGTGTGTGATTTTTTTTATGAAGCATTATTAAAGTGGTTTGAGCAATCGTATAACCTGTTTTGTGGCCTTGCACAGAATATTTAAGGCAAACCTCAATGAAACGCAGAGGTTACATGCCTGGAAAATGATGTGTTGAACAAAACCACGTTTGACAAATATTATGCGAAAAATAGGGTTGCATTTCTGGGTCCAAAATGATCACCCCCTCCCTCTTGTTTAACCAATTCTACGTGAATTCCGCCCTTGCTTCACTAATCGCTGTCCATTTACTGTGTGTACCCTTTTTCAATTTAACACCTAACCGCCGCGGCACCCACGCCCAACGCTGACGCTGCATTCCCAGGCCGACGCTCGCCCCGAACGCCGTCACTTGAATGTTAACCATTTGCCATCGAGGCGTCCGTATGGCTGACGTCCTCGACGACTGGGCGGCTGGATGTGACCTCCAATGTTGCGACATGCTGATGATGTGCACAGCGAGTTTTTACCAAATGATAAGATGCACAAACTTTTGCCCGTGTCAATAAAGTTATACAAGTATCGGGTCACATGCACACTCGCATGCATACCGAAATTAGAATTCGTACCCCCAACTTTTGATTAAAAGTACAGGGGAATAAAATTTAAAAAAATCGTATAATCAGGACATTGTGTTAGGTGTAAGAATCGATCATTGTTTATTAAAATCTCGCCGTTATTGCTACCACTATGGATTCTACATGAATCACGATGCCAAAATAATTGGGTGGGGAGTTAATCACATTGTGACCTTGAATCGTGTCAATTCATCAAATCCTATCATGGGGAGTTACTGAGCCGAGTGTCTTGGAAAACAAATGATCACAAGTGCACAGTGTCCCATATTGTCTCACAAAATAAAGGTCTTGTTTAGAGTGGGCAGATGTTAACTACCTCACCTGGTATACAGGAGGTCGTGTGTTCAATCCCGACCCTGACGCCTGCTGTATATTTGTAGTTTGCGTGTCTCTCTCTCCCCGTGGTGGTGTGATTCTTTTTTTTCCGCGTCCTCCGGTTTTTCCCTCCACATTTAGAATCGTGCGTTTTGAGTATTTGGCTGCGATGAAATGTCCACGTGATAAGCCACTTCATTGAGCTATCATTTGTGATAGCCAGGAGCTATATAGCTCAGTGGGTATTACCTAGTGAAATAAAAAGTTTAAAGAATTGTTAAATGTCTGGCCATCTGTGGGGATATACGATACAGCTATCAACAGTGGAATGTCGAGTGTGTAAATTAGGCGTAATTTATGAAGAGATACTTAAAAACATACTTCAGTGCCATCAACATTATTTCAGGACCCCCCTAAATGACTACAATTCATTCTAATAATGATTAAGCTTCGCTCCATATTGTATCATTAATTTCCGACCATTAGGCTAAATGCACACAATTTGTGCAAGTCTTGATACGAGCCATGTAATTTATTGCAAGCATCGTACGGATAATCTGTCCTCATCGCTACATGCCTATTACAGTCAAACAAGTCGCATTGAAGTTGATTATAGACTGTGTTTGAGGGATACAGCCACAGAGCTATATTTGTACAAATCTAGGATCATTTGTGAAGGCACAATGGGATGAATATTCCGAAATACATAATTGGGCAGACAAGGCCAGAAGATGACACTTGTTGGGCTTGGAATGTAGCCAGAATTTACGCTTAATTATGATCCGCTCTTTTATGTATATTTGCGTCATCTGCTGGACATCTGTGAAAACTACTGAAAATTTGTGGGGGGAAAAATAATTATAGCTCATCGGTGATCCTCCAGAATAAATACTGATTCTGATTGCTGTTATCCATTTGATTTGTCTTGCATCATCATCACCACCAGGTAATTTGTGAGATAATTCTAACCTGGGTCACCAAAAGCAATGCCCAGTGACCGTGTTCACCAACAAACAAATTACCTGGTGGTGGTGGTGCTGGTGGTGGTGGTGGTACACAGCGGGGCATAAAAACACAAACAGCAACACGATCGTCCACAACACGCGTTCGTTGAAGGGCCATTTGCCCGAAACGTCGCCCCCCGTGATATATTTTACACCCTTTAAAGGCCACACACAGTTGTGGACAAACGTGTTGACTGGTTAAACAACTGATCGCGACTCGGTACGCGATATAACCCCCCAAAATAAAATTTAAATAAACCTTTAGCAATTAATAAAAAAAAGCCAAACGCGTTTCGCTGCTCTCCACGTGTTTGTTGACGGTCTCCATGGCGACAAGAAAAGCGTCGCGGCCTAGCGATTCCAGCGGGCAAGTCCGACCACTTCAGCGTAAACGCGCATCTCACTTCGCACACATTCTACAATTTAGCAATTAAAGTGTTAAGGGGCCTCCTGTCTATCGTCTCGCACCGACATTAGATGTCGGGCGACGCGCGTATTCGACGCGTTGACATTTCGGCGGCGGCTCTTAGCTCGTGTTTGTTTAGATTGCGATGCTGCGCGCTGAGCCGTCGGGGTTTGTTGTAATTTATTAACGAGAAGAAGATATCTCGGTGAGTGGCAGCGTCTCGTGAGAGAGAGAGAGGGGGTGGTGGGAGATAGAGCGATGAAATCAGCCCTGGTTGCGGGAGGAAGGGAAGCGAGGTTGGATGGCGATTGCTCGGGAAGATTGAGGGACGCCTTCATCCAGCAGTGGAGAGGATACAAGGCTGTGATTGTTATTGTACCACGTCGTTGAAGGCTGCCTAAAGCCGTGCTTTTATTAAGGGCGACCACTGCGCATAACAAGACGTTAAAGCTTGCGGGGGGGCTAAGTTGTGGAACAGCGGAGAGCCGTGCAGCGAAATCCATTGTTGTACTGCACTTCTACGTGCTGTTTGTTGTCACCAAACGTTATTGACCAGCGTGGTGAAGTATGGTCAAATGACCCCCCCACAACGATTCGAGCGGGGTGGGGGGGCCTCATCCAGCAGTGGTTTGACAAACAGGCTGCAACGTATTGTAACGCAGCCTAGGCTATTGTATTAAATAGTTACTGAAGCACAGTCCTAAAGGCTCATAAACGCCAAGCTGCCAATAACAAACGGCACTGGCAAAAGTTGAGCATCGATGAGACTCAAACCGCTTCGCGATTCTCTCGCCAAGCACCGATTGATTTAAACAAAACAATTAAATTGTTTGACCTACACTGGATTGAACCGCTCCCGAGGTTCGTAAATTCACTTCGCAGTGGGATGATTTAATCATCATCAGCAGCAGCCATGAGCAATCCACTGCTGGATGGAAGCCCCCTAACAAACCGGCACCTCACGATATGGCCCCATGCAACGATCCATTTAGCACCTTGTTGCAAACGTCACTCCGTTGTTCTAATTCTTGACTATCGTCATTCCGTTTTCTATCTCCGTTACTTTACCGAAAGAACCAAGAATATGAATTCTTGCAGTCACGAACGTTTTAAGTCAAAATTTAACAGTTGTTGATATTGAACGACCCAGCAGCACCCTCTGCTGTTAGCAACAACAAAACACGCAACACAATCGTCAATAATACCGTGGCTTTCAATCAAATAAGTAATAAAACACATTTAATAAACGACGTTTTGGGCTATGGCCCTTCTTCATTGCATGTAATTCATGGTGCATATCAGAATACTTTTTAATACTGGAGGAATCCGATGAGCTATATTGATGTCCAGCAGGGGCAGGTAAAAACGTTGCAACAAACAGTACTTAAACATGATATACTGTATCATAATAGCACATATATTATGTCAGGCGAGCTTGAATCAATGCTGGTGAACTGCCAGATATGAGCAAGGCCCTCCTCTTGAAGATATGGGTCCGAGTTTCCACGGAAAAATATATAGTTAATATACAAATAAAATGCAAAGAATTGTCTTTATAAGTTTACTTTTAAGCAACAAAGTTCCGTATTCTATCTACTGGTGGGGAGGGGAAGCGGTTTAGCGGTGGTTAGATCGCCGCAAGCATCACCTCCGCACGTTCGATTAGCACGGCTGGCTACGTACGGTGCGAAAAAAGTTCACCGTACACACATCAGTGGCGAGTGAGATCTCGTCTGTGGCCAGCGTGGTGAAGTATGGTAACATAACCCTCACGAACGTCGTTTGATGAACAAATGGGTTTGTAAAGTATGTATTCAATGATTCGCTGGATATCTCGTTAATTTAAGTAGGGGACCTCCCTATACATGGTTATTGTTGGTTTAATAAGAATGGACGAGTGGAAAATAGAGTAATTGATTAATTGATGGCTACGTCGTGTGAACGAGACGAATTACTCCTTGGCCTCAATGTCCGTTTGCATTAGTTAAGTGTTTTCCCCCCAAGCGCCTGCATTTTAGCTTTTCACACCAGCAGCTGTGTGAGAATTGAATGACCAAGCCCAGATTGCACAGCACGCAAAAAAAAAACCACATGTAGTCGGAATAATTGGTCAATAGCAACAATTGATTGCCTTTGTGTGACTTAATTGAACATGAGTGTTTGAGGGTCTCCGTTGATCAGGTTAATTTCCCATGCTGGACGATGACCACGACTGACAGTGTCGCAGCGGTGCTGGCTGCTTGCCACGTGAATAAGGAACAAAAGCGGCCCGGTTGGTGGCTTGCCAATCAGGTTGCAATTTAAAATCCCGGTTGGGTCGGTTGACTCAGCCCATCATCCTTGGGGGGTCGGTAAAATTGGTACTACTTTGTGGGAAAGTCAACCGTGGTTGTGCTGTGGAGTGACTTGCCCCCGCCGTTGGCATGCAGATTTTTCTACCACTGACTCACGGCTGTGAACAGGAGATGGGCACCACCTCCATGCTCATTTTAGCAAGAAATCACTGACTTCGAGTTTAAAAGCAACTGTGAACATTTTGCAGAAGGCCATACCAGTGTTGCTTTCCATGGATGTGGATCGCCGTCAGGACAATGGAGAGGAGAGCTGCAGTACACAGGTATGTGTAAACAAAAGTAACAAACGTGCGAGAGTACATTTCACCACCTTGAAATAAAATGCAACGTCAGTTTAACACGTAGGCTTTCGCGACCAAATTACAACGCAGATCTATCGGCTGATGGACACGGCGGCTCCATGAATTCCAGCTGCATTTATGAAGACAAGAACTTTAGACAGGTTTCCAACCACTGTAATTATCTGTTTATCGCACATGAATTCCAAAATAGATGTCTTATTTCCATACTAAATGAGTTACGTGTTACAATGTTTGGTGGATTATTACATCGCTACGCAGTGAGTGATGGCAATGGCTTCCAGCCGTGGATCATAACTGATGATGGTGAACTCAATGTATGCAAAGTTCAATGAACGTTATCCTAAGTACAAATCAGTTTCTCATATTGATTTAATTAATTAAATAACACATTCCTGCGGAGGGAGCTGGTAGGAACATTGGGTTGCTCGGTCAATGGCCAGGGTCAACGGCGGCGTGGTGTATTCCGCAAATATGCCCGACTTTGAGGGCTGGTACAAGCTGGCGTAAGCACCACGGGGTGACCAGCCCCTCCCCACCCATACCCACCCCTCCCACCCCCCACCCAGCCCCACCCTCCCCACCCAGCTCCTCCCCACCCTCCCCACCCAGCCCCTCCCTGCACGATGGACGGACACAATAATCCCCTGTGGGCTGGTGGAACCAGGTGGCTCCTACCAATATTAAATATTTACACTTAGTTCAAATATTTTTTTAAAAAGTATATCTAAGTGTAGTGGCTGAACTTTTTTGCGTTGTCACTTTCAGATACGACCAAATATAATTAATTCAACGTGACATTTTTGTAAGTTACTAGGCTATTAAGGACATCATAATTAGCCACTTTTCCTTTGAATCCTACATGGTACAAATGAGGCTCTTTTATACACACACAGACACATCGAATATTCTCGCTAAAATATTGTCAAATTAATACTTCACCAATGAATCAACTACAAATAGTATGAGTTATGTGTTAAAATGTAAAAATAACAGCGAGTTATGTAACCCCTCCTATTTGCTAAATATACAATGTTATGTTTTGTATCAAGAATATAAAGCATACACATTGTCAATGTCGTGTGACTATCATTAGCATAGTTGACCTGTGCGTACACCCGCACGCATGTAAATGTGTTTTGAAACCTTACATTACGTTTTCGCAAAGTGGGTCTTTTTTTCCAGAATGAATATGAGTAGATGAGTTCGTCCTCTTAGGTATTTGTGAAGTGGTAGTACAGCCTACAGTCAGTCCACTGCTGGATGCGAGCGTTCTTCTACCGCGAGGGTCATGCGCGAGGTATCTGATCATACTTCACCACGCTGTTCATCGTCGCTTGCTGAAGGCGAAGAGCATATAGGTTCAGTACAAAAATGATGTTTCTGCACGACCCTCCTGTGCGTGTGTATGTATATTACTACTACTACTGGTGTACTTTTTGCTGTTATATTACGATTTTGTGTAAGGCTATGTTTAATTGTTTTAATTTTTGTATCATCAGGCTGAAGATGAACAAGGCGCCCCGCCATGCACTTTCCCTACGGCGGTTTCTGAGGAGCAGCTGGAGGGAGCTAGGAGAAGGACTCGCAATCGCCTGCAGTTCATCGGCTCCGGGGCCGTCTTCCTGCTGGATGATGGCAGAGGTCAAAGGGCAGGACCCAGCATGCAGAACGTCTTGGAAGACAAAGCCAGACAGCAGTGGGTTGTGTTTCTGGTGTCGTACATTTCCCCACGATGTCGTTTTTAATGTCCATCTCGCGCGGCAGCTTTCTGCATACCCAATGCTCCTTATGGGTTTATAATATTGGTGGCAAAGCAAAGCGTGTGCCAAGACACAGTGAATGAAAAGGTGTTGTTATTTTTACGTTTTGTCGAGGTGTTATATCTTAAAATCCATGTTGTCTAGGTATCCATGAAAGAAGAGAATGCAAATACCTTGAGTAAAAGGCAGTAAGAGATCCCTGTGTTGGCAGCTACAAGAAGGAATACATGTTTAAGTATCTTGTTGATTTCCTATACACGTGAACCCAGTGTAATAGCCAATGGCAGCTTTAGTCAAACTCAAGTTAACATTTGTGCACTTGACAAACGTTCTGTACTGAATGAAGGCTATAGAAGCTAGTGGTACAACCTTATGCAATCATATATGAGTAAACTCCTTTCACTAAAAAGATTTTAGTTCTATCAGGACATTGCATTCATTATTGAATGCAGTATTTAGTCATGGCACTTTGAAAAAATACGACTCTGCAGACACTCACCGTGCCATATGTTCAATTGTTATCGGTCTCTTGCAGCTCCATGAAGGGGCTTGAGGAATTTAACCGTGGGGAGTATGAGAAGGCTGTCCTGTGTTTTACAAAAGCTATCAACCTCACCCCACAACAGGCAAGTAATTCGCCATTTACATAAGAATATGTTTCTCGGAAACACACTTTCTCACTTTTCAGGTTCAATGATCATTTTCGTGGCATTTAATTCTCGTAAAAAAAAGTGAGCTCTTTAAAAGTAATATGCATTGCATTTGCCGACAAAGATGAATGCGGTATAATGGCTAAGTGAGCTATGTATAAAGCTATGAAAAACATTCTGAAATTGGTGTGAAATTCTTCCACCCATGATCCACACACGTTATCCGCTACTTACACGTGCACATGTCGGTGTCTTGACGAGTTTGTGTGCGTGTGTGCGGCGTGGCCGTGAGCTCCACACTGCCCTACGAGCCCAGCCACTCGAGTTCGATTGCCGTTCACGACCAGTATTGGTGGCGAGTATTTGAACTGGTCCTGGGCTTCCCCCACCCCGCCTCCTGTGTCTACTCGGCCTTATAAAGTAGTATCTGGTGCGGTGTGTAAACATCAGCACTGGCCACCGACCCATGGAACCGAATGGCTCACAGGGCTATACCTAATAAATGAACTTGAACTGCATCACATGCTTTCAGATGCGCTTCTGCAGCGGTCTGGAACGCTCTTCCTTCTGATATTAGGAAGTCACTGGAGCTATGCACATTCAAATCATCACCTACATTGAAAACACATTTCTTTAGAACTACTTTTTCTGTTGTTTGTTGTCCTTCTCCCGTATCTACGATTAGCACGGTTGGCTACGTACGGTGCGAAGGAAGTTCAACATACTACTCGTTCAGAGCACTTGCCCCAACAGTTATGTTAAAGGCTCTACGGGGGGGTCTATTTATCCTTGATCTTTGTGTGCTCACCCCCAGACGGATCTCTATGTGAAGAGAGCCGAAGCTTACCTCGAGCTGTGCGACTTCCAGTCGGCTATCCTGGGATACAAACAGGCACTCAGCGTCTCTCGGGGTCAAGCCCCGATCCACGGACGCCTGGCCAGCATCTACTGCATACACGTAGGGTTGTCGCCCTGCCGTGTTAAGATCTGACGGCACTTGATGATGCCGTGTTGAGCATCAGCTGAAGCTGGATCAATGTCACACGAGCCCAATTTGTCCCAAGCAATTGAGGTCGACTTTAATGAATGCAATTCTGACCTGTGTTGTGCTTTGTGTTCTAAGCGTACACATACGTTACGTTGGGAATTTTCATTTTTCATCAATACGAACGCCAATAAATGGATATGTTGTGTAGCTAATATAATGAGAATATACAACACAAATAAATGTGAGTCTCTAGAATGCTTTGCGTAAGTTCGTGCTCTATGTTTTCTTTAGAACTGCTTTGTGTAATTAGTGTGTTCTTCGCCCAGACCTCAGATTAGCTCGGTTGGCTACGTAAGATGTGAAAGAAGATCAACATGCATACATATAATATTGAATTGTCAATCTCTTTTTGCTGATATACAGCTATTGATTTATACATCCGGAAGAACGTCACTGAGTCTTAAGACTCTTTTTGGCCACTTTTACATTGAATGCGTGTTTGCATTTGAGATGGACCCGGTATACCTGGAAAAGAGAGAAAAAAAACCCATGCATACGAGGAGATAAAACTCATGGGTTGACACAGATGGGTTCATGAACCCGTTTGCTCAACTGTCATCTGGCCACCTTTACAGAGGCGAGCATGTTTGGCAGTCTCTCTGTAAATAGCGATCTCACCACGATCCACCCACCATCTCTCCAAAGCTGTGTATTATAGGTGTGCGTGTGGTGCTTAAAGTGACTATTTTAACTCAGGAGTGTGCGTGACACGATGAGCATGTCCCATTTTTGTATTTGTGAACAGGGCCAAGGCCTTTTTGAACACAAATTGTATCTGGATGCTCTGGAGGCATTTACGAGAGCCACAGAGCTCAAGCCCAGCAGCCTCTCCATCCAGATGAGATGGTACATTGACTGAAATTTCTCTGAACATAATGTCCTATGCTCATGATGGAATCTATAAACATTGTATGTATTGTGCATCAGTGTTTTATTTCAAATGTCTTGAGATATCCATTATAATGCAGCAACAGAAGTTAAGTTGCACAAGGCTTTTGTAGTTTTAATGGGGAGGACTAACTTTGACACGCATGGATTGTGCGAATCTGAGTTGGAAAATAATGTTTAGTTTTTTAAATATATATAGCATTATCGTTCATGCCAATTGCATCTCACAGACAATCTGGAAGGCAGCAGCCAGGGCAGTGAGTCGGTGCCAACAAATCCCCGAGCTCTATGGTCCTCTATATATTAAGATGTTTTTAGCTCATCAATGAGTGTTCGTACACGTGGGTGGATTGGACGATATTAATCCTCACTTTACTGTTCCATCTTCTTCTGGCAAGCCAGGGTATTGGTATGGTACCTGCTCGACATAGCCGTAACAGACTGTTGGGGCAAGTGCTGTTAGCGAGCAGCACCTGTGAAGGCCGGAACAGCACACGAGGGGGTGGGTGGCCAGCATCCTCGCACCAGGTACTCAATTGAGACTGAGTCGACCTCGGGGAGGCCCAGGACCGGTTCAGATAATTCGTCCCTGGTGTTGGCCGTGAGCGGGAATTGAATCCTGGTCACTGGATTCGTAGCGCGCTAACCTCTATGCTATCGTTTCTGTACACACACGTGTACAGGTGTACATCAGGTGTACACGCTCACACGCGTGTGCTTACATTCTAACTGATGTGTGCTAATTTACGTTAGCATGCAGCACAGTGTTGCTCTTAAAAATGACTTTGTGAAAGTATTTTGCTGCCAATTTTAACCCAAGACCTGGTATTCGTCAGCAGTGTGGCAAGTTCCATGGCGATTGGTCTAAGAGTTTTGCAGAATTCTGTAGTTTTCATTAAAGTATATGAAGGGTCCTCAGACAGATAGATGGACGCATGAAATATTTCCCAGGTATAGCAAACGAGCAGCCTATCAGCTCGTTTCAACATCCCCACAATGCTCTCAACAAGAATATGGCAATGTGATTGCATGTCATAGTTAAATGAATTGCCTGCAGTATCAGGCTAATTAAATGTTTCCCAAAATTAAAAATAGCAACGCCATAAAGACTAGCCGTGCAGTTTTAATGGGTCTACCCTGTCCGAATGAATAAGCGAATATATCCGAAGAGTCAGGAGGGTGGAGGGAAATTGGGGAACCATTGGCAGCAAGAGAAATGACCCCCGAGGGCTGAGTAATGAGAGTCCAATCCTGCGGGGTGTTGCAAGCGGCCCAACCTCAGCGGGAGCCAATCTGGTCAAACTTTGGGGGCCGCCGGTTCCACTTCTTTGCGTCGCAGTGTGGCGTGCCTGGCGGCGCTGGGCCGCTACGGCGATTGCCTGGAGCTGGTGGACCGCTGGCTCCTGGCCGAGACGGACAACGTCGACCTCTACGTGCTGCGGGCGCGCCTGCACCACCGCTTCAACAATGCAAGTGACGAGCGCGCGCCCAGCAAATTGTATAAATCCATAGACTTTGGTATTTTTTTCGGTAAAGTCACGTGGGTATAAAATAAAATAAAGCCACTGCTGGATGAGGAGCTCTCCTCGCGCCGTGCAGGTCACTCGCGTACTTTGCCGTGCTGGTCGGTGCGGGTTGGTGTAGCAGGGTGGACCCCAAGACCGCTGTAGATGACTCGCCGCTGATGTCAGATCACCGGGTTCACAACGTAGTGGGCTAACCACTGCGCTAAAGCTCCACCCCTGACACGACATTGCATCATCATCAGTCGGTGCATCGCGCGCTTTCAGATGCGCTTTTGCAGCCCTCTGGAATGCTCTTCCGATATTAGGAATATCACTGGAGCTATGCACTCTTTAAAAGCTTCTCGATTTAAAACACATTTCTTTAGAACATATTTTTGTTGTTTAGTTTGTTGTCCTCCCCCCAGAATCTCCGATTAGTACGGTTGGCTACGTATGGTATGAAAGAAGTTCAACATACATACACGTACATTATCAATCCACCGCTGAATTAAGGCCACCACCTTCACGGTCGCACGATGCAGCAACCACACGCCTGCCAAGCAGCCACAGCCGGTTGGCGCTGGCCAACTCTGCTGCTGTGCCCCTCGCCCTGACCCTCTTCCCAGTGGCATTGTAGCTCCATTATCATCCCAGGGGGATATGGCAATCGGTCAGGTGGGGCCCCAATATTTTATTTGTCTCGTACGGTTGTACTCTTAGGTTTTGTCGGTAAAGTTTTTTTTTTTAACTACGTGACTTTACCGAAAAAACTTAAGAGAATGAATCCTTGCAGTCACGAAAGCTTCAAATCTAGAATTCGTACGGTTGTGCCGAGGCTATTATATATCGTGGCTCCTTTTTGCCTAATCACGTCATTACGCTCACGGTCTCGAACATTTAGTGGCTGTAGGGGTGCTCCAACTTTACAAAATGCAGTCACTACAGGCCCGTAGTAGTACCTCTTTGCAATATAATTGATGCGTATCTAATGAAATAAATATTCCAGGAACGGAGTTCAATGCCCAATGTTCTTTGCCTCAAGTTACTATCATTCAAAGCAAATGACGTTTCTTTTCCACCGTTGACAAAATATCTCATGGTGGCTGTCAAGGGGGCCCCAACTCGTAGCTTTGGCCACCAGCGGGGGCCAAGGCACCCCCTGCCCCCAAGCTGGTCACGCTACTGCCCCCTCCTCTCCGCAGCCGAGCCGCTGCCACGAGGATGCTCGTGAAGCGGCGCGTCTGGCGCCGGGCCGCGTGGAGGCGGAGGCGCTGCTGGACAGCCTGCGCAGGCGAGCGCAGGACGCGCGGGCGCAGGCCGTAGCCGGGGCGCTGCGCGGGAGGCCCCGCGAGGCGCTGGCCAAGATCTCGCTCGCCGTCGAGAGCGACCCCGGAGCACCCGAGCACCACGTGCTGCGGTGAGTCGTCGTTGTGGCTTCGCTGCCGGGGACCGCCGCGGGATCGAGCACGTGTTGCGCAATCACGTGGCCCGCCAACACACGCAATTTTTTTTATGAAGTGGCCCGTTAGAAAATGCATTTTAAAGAAGTGTGGTGTAGGCGTGTACTTGCTGTTAGTCCACGGAAGATGTAGCCCGAAGTTAATTTGGCTGTTGATTTGTACCAAGGCTGTCTCTGACAAGTGTGAAATTTCGCTTGTGAGAAAACGAATTTAAACTCGATCAGTATTGACTTTATAACACCGAGTGATTGCCATTATATTTTCATACATTGTCAATGCCGTGACATCACTATCGTGCTATAAATGTATTTTTAAGAGTTTTTTTTCTCATTAACAAAGCTTCAAACTCGTCGGTCGTGTTTACCGATCATTTCCCATGTGCAGCGTGTAAGGACATTATTTGCGTGTAGTCGGGCGAGATTTGTATATATGTAGCCAACCGCGTGAATCGGACACGTGGGGGAAGGACAACAAATTAAACACAAAAATCAGTTCTAAAGAAATAAGTTTTCCATCTAGATGATCTAAAAGTGCATAGCTCCAGTGGCTTCCTAATATAAGAAACGCATTTGAAAGCGCGCGATGCGGTGACCGCCTTTGTTCGACTGCTGCGAGTTTATGCCGTGCTTTTGGTTCGCCAAAAAAAACCCCGGCTTAACGCTGGCGTGACGCTCTGCCACGTGGCAGGGCCGCCCTGCTGCGCCAGCTGCAAGACTTTGCGGGCGCCACCGAGGAGCTGCTGGCGGGGATGGAGGCGGCGGGTCACGACCCGGAGAACGCGGCCCAGCGAGCCGCCCAGCGGCAGCTCCTCATCGCCTACAACGACCTCGCCGTGCACTGCTGCCGCCGGGGCCTCTTCCAGGAGGCGGTGGCGCTGCTCAACAGGGCCATCCGCGCTGAGAAAGGGGCCAAGAGTCTCTACCGAAACCGTGGAGGTCGGTCTGCCTAAACTCCGCCCCCCACCCGCAAAGGCCTCGAGCAGGGGTTGGGAACCTGCGGCTCTGGAGCTGCATGCGGCTCTTGAAGGACTGCAGTGCCGCTCTTGAAATTCGAAATAAATTACTCTTTGGTATTTTGTTTGCCGAGCCCTGACCATGGGAATTCAGTTCACCATGGAAGTCCAGTTCACCGTGGAAGTCCAGTTTACCATGGAAGTCCAGTTCACTTCGGAAGTCCAGTTCACCATGGGAGTCCAGTTCACCGTGGAAGTCCAGTTTACCAGGGCAGCTTCTGAGCCGCATGCGGCTCTTCAGGGACTGCTGCTTCGTGACATGAATTATTGAGGACCACCATCTCGTATTCACGTTGCATTGCGGCTCTTGAAATAGTTTTTTTATTATCGCATTCGAAAATGGCTCTTCTTGTTGTTTTGGTTGCCAACCTCTGGCCTAGAGCCTTGCTCCGAATCAATGGCAGGCCCACTGGTCGTAATGATTATTTAGTATGTCGAGTATTCGCGCGATTCGTAGTCTATATATCGTGTATTTTTACGGTTAATACACACCTGCAGTAATAACCAGGGTGGCCTGTCGGATTCGAACCGTAAAAAAAAGATCTGCAACAAGTAGCGAACGAGCTACCGTTGGGTCATAAATCACCGCCAAATCACCCAGACTAAGTTTCGTCACGATCTTCGTGATTATGATCATCATCCTCACCTACAATCAATTTACCTGGAATGTGCCTTATTATCCTCAGATCCCGGAAGCTAAGCAGGGTTGAGCCTACGGCGCTTGTGCTATGTGCTCATCTATCTTCTGCACACGAACTGGGAGAATTGCTCACATCTCCACAGTGATTGTCATCTCGTTATTTGCTCACTCCTGTGGCTGCTGTTAAGTCTCCAGTCTAGTCCACTGGTCATCATCCCTTCTAGAAATGCGTCCTGCGCAAACCCACCTGCCTTTGTTCCCTAATTCACCTGCTACCCTGTTTTTTTGTCTCTCTGCAATCCCAAGAATGCATCTTTCCATGCTTCATCTCTCTATTTTCAGCCTTCGTTCCATTTCCATGTTGCCCATGCATACGATAGCTGGGTAGTACGCACAGATTGAAAACGCTCTTCTCCATGCACATCATTGTGCTGCTCTTAATTATCAAGCCCATCGTCCGGCGATGAAGCTCATTGCGGAGATAAAATGCAAGCAAACGCTCACCGTTCACATGCGCGTGCTTGTTTGGCGCACCGTAGCAAATTTACATTTGCACCGACGTAGGCAAGAATTGGATGTGCGGAGGAAACCACGCGAGGGGAAAAAGCTTTGAAAGTCGGCAAGGATGACACGTGCTGTGCATGTGTCTCCTCCGTTGACAAGCACGGGATTTCATGAATTATGAAGGCGCGTTGTGTTGCCCGCATATTCCGTGCGAGTACAGCCGAGCCTTCCCGACGTCAACTCCTGTTTTGCGGCCTCAAACAAAAAAAAACCCCAAGAAGAGTAAACTTGACACTAAAAGGAGTCAGACCAACGCCGTGACGTCCATTAGCGTAACTTTTTGTTACGATCAAACCTGTGGTTGACGTGAGTCACGGTGACGTTAAGTGTTTTGCTTAGGCGTTTGTCCGCACATCACCGGAACGCGCCCATGTGCTTTTCGTGCGCCAGTGTGCTGCTACGGCAGAGTTGCGTTTAGGGCAACCGCACTACGAACCCGGCGGGCCGAGTTCAACTCCCGGCCACGGCTAACATCGGTGGCGATTATCTGATATGGTCCCGCTCCTGCCCGAGTTGGGCTTAACCATAAATGTAGAAACTGGCGCAATATGTAAACGTCAGCGCTCGGGAGACAAAGGCGACTTGGCATGGTGCTGGCCACACCACAAACCTCGTGCGGTGTGCCAACCTTCACACATGCGGCAAACGGGGCTTGTCATCGACATTCTAAAAAGGCCATACGGGGGGGTTTCTTTGGTTTTGCTCACGTGCCCAACTGGTGCATCTGTGCCCCCACCGCTAGACTGCTTCTACAAGATGGACGAGTTGGGGTTTGCACTCGCCGATTACCAGCAGGCCTACGAGCTGGACCCCGGCGACTCGTGCTTGAGGGAGAGGATCGCCTTGGTGCACCACGACCTGGCTGTGGTGGACCACCACGAAAAGTGAGTCGGTTGCATAGGCGGTGACAGCGTCAGTATTTCAAAAAGATAAGTCTTAGCGTCGTGCCGTTTCCCCTTAATTGTTCTGCCACAGCGAATTGGTTGGCGCACTGGAGAGGCCGCCGTTTCAATCTGCTCGGCATGACGTTGAAAGAGCGGTGCAGGTTTCTTAAACCACCCCCCCCCTCCTCTGTCCATCCCAGTGGTCTATGTGGCTCCATCACGGTCAATCGGCAGGTGGCGTGTGGCGTGGTGAGGTGAAGTGTGGGTAACCCCGTGATAAGCCACTTCTTTGAGCTGTCATTTGTGGCCAGGTCGCTTCTAAAAAAGAACTAATAGCTCAGTGGGCCTTACCTGGTTAACTAAACATATTTTAGTTTTAGCTGACTTATAGTGATTCGCTTACCTTTCCCATACTCTGCACTCCTTTCGTTTGTTTGTATTGATTATTGTTGTAACTTTGTGACTCGCTCCTACTGGACACCCATGAAAAAGAGCATCGGATTTCTCCGAGATAAATAATCTGATTCTGATTCCAAGACTATATTTTTCCTTACAAATTTTCCCACGATAGCTACCTCAAGTAATAGGATATTGCTGGCTAAAAAAGCCAGCACCACCGCGTGTGTTACCCCTGGCCTCAAAAACCGCGGCTCCTCCTTTGCCCAGGCGATACGCGGACGCGGAGCGGCGCTGCACGGAAGCGATCCGGAACCACCCGGGGCTGGGCGCTGCCTACGTGCAGCGTGCGATGGCGCGCCAGATGATGCAGGAGAACGCGGGAGCGAGGCTCGACGTTGTCACAGCCCTGCTCATCCAGCCCAGCAACCAGAAGGTGACGACTCACTCACTCCCTATTCATCCCCGACGGGACGTAGGGCTACAACCAGCAGGTGACTACTCACTCACTCCCTATTCATCCCCGACGGGATGTAGGGCTACAACCAGCAGGTGACTACTCACTCACTCCCTATTCATCCCCGATGGGGCGTAAGGCTACAACCAGCAGGTGACTACTCACTCACTCCCTATTCATCCCCTACGGGACGTAGGGCTACAACCAGCAGGTGACTACTCACTCACTCCCTATTCATCCCCGACGGGATGTAGGGCTACAACCAGCAGGTGACTACTCAATCACTCCCTATCCATCCCCTACGGGACGTAGGGCTACAACCAGCAGGTGACTACTCACTCACTCCCTATTCATCCCCGATGGGGCGTAAGGCTACAACCAGCAGGTGACTACTCACTCACTCCCTATTCATCCCCGATGGGACGTAGGGCTACAACCAGCAGGTGACTACTCACTCACTCCCTATTCATCCCCTACGGGACGTAGGGCTACAACCAGCAGGTGACTACTCACTCACTCCCTATTCATCCCCGATGGGATGTAGGGCTACAACCAGCAGGTGACTACTCACTCACTCCCTATTCATCCCCGACGGGACGTAAGGCTACAACCAGCAGGTGACTACTCACTCACTCCCTATTCATCCCCGACGGGATGTAGGGCTACAACCAGCAGGTGACTACTCACTTACTCCCTATTCATCCCCGACGGGACGTAAGGCTACAACCAGCAGGTGACTACTCACTTACTCCCTATTCATCCCCGACGGGACGTAAGGCTACAACCAGCAGGTGACTACTCACTTACTCCCTATTCATCCCCGACGGGACGTAAGGCTACAACCAGCAGGTGACTACTCACTCACTCCCTATTCATCCCCGACGGGATGTAGGGCTACAACCAGCAGGTGACTACTCACTCACTCCCTATTCATCCCCGATGGGGCGTAAGGCTACAACCAGCAGGTGACTACTCACTCACTCCCTATTCATCCCCTACGGGACGTAGGGCTACAACCAGCAGGTGACTACTCACTCACTCCCTATTCATCCCCGACGGGATGTAGGGCTACAACCAGCAGGTGACTACTCAATCACTCCCTATCCATCCCCTACGGGACGTAGGGCTACAACCAGCAGGTGACTACTCACTCACTCCCTATTCATCCCCGATGGGGCGTAAGGCTACAACCAGCAGGTGACTACTCACTCACTCCCTATTCATCCCCGATGGGACGTAGGGCTACAACCAGCAGGTGACTACTCACTCACTCCCTATTCATCCCCGACGGGACGTAGGGCTACAACCAGCAGGTGACTACTCACTCACTCCCTATTCATCCCCGACGGGACGTAGGGCTACAACCAGCAGGTGACTACTCACTCACTCCCTATTCATCCCCGACGGGACGTAAGGCTACAACCAGCAGGTGACTACTCACTCACTCCCTATTCATCCCCGACGGGATGTAGGGCTACAACCAGCAGGTGACTACTCACTTACTCCCTATTCATCCCCGACGGGACGTAAGGCTACAACCAGCAGGTGACTACTCACTTACTCCCTATTCATCCCCGACGGGACGTAAGGCTACAACCAGCAGGTGACTACTCACTTACTCCCTATTCATCCCCGACGGGACGTAAGGCTACAACCAGCAGGTGACTACTCACTCACTCCCTATTCATCCCCGACGGGACGTAAGGCTGCAGATGAAACCTCGCCCGAGCCAGACTGATTGGTGAGACGTGGAGCTTTTATAGTGATGGAGGCACTTCTGGAATACTAAACTATAAACTTTATTTTTTATGTTACTAGGTAAGGCCCACTGAGCTTTATAGCTCTTTTCAGAAGTGACCTGGCTAACACAAATGATAGCGCAACGAAGTGGCTTATCACGTCGACATTTATATTAGCCAAATACTGTAAGCGCGCGTTTATAAATGTGGAGGGAAAACCGGAGGACCCGCAGGAAAATCCATGCCACCACGGGAAGAACACGCAAACTCAAATTCTACAGGTGTCAGGGTCGTGATCGAACCCATGAGTTTTGTATGCCAGGCGAGGTAGTTAACATCTTGCCACCATCGCGCCCCAATCATGCAATGGTGGACCGAAGGAGGGACCACCCACCCCCCGTAAAAAAATTGGTATGTTAGTGATATTTACCAGAGAAAATGCATGCAATTGTGTTTGTATTAGTATTAATGTAAGGGCCTATTTAAAAAAAAAAAACCTTAATTTCAGGAGCACCCCACCTTGGGACGTTTCTCGATCCACCTCTGGTGCACTTAAAATGTATTTAATAAATTACATTAATCAAAGTAATAATGATTTGTTTTGTTTACATAACGCCCTCCTTTACGCCGGGGCATCTCGTAGCGTTTTACACGCAACACGCGACTTGCATCACGTATATTTACCCTTAGTGGGAAGTTGTCCCTTTTGGACACAAGGTGATCTAGCACCTGGACTGCAATCAGACATTCGTCTGTGAGCGAGTGTAGGATGACAACTGCCACGTGTAGGTCTAATTTCGTTTATTTTAATTGGCAGCATTGGGTCGTGACGGCGGCACGCAGTGGCCTACTCCTCCTGCGTGTACGCTGACGTCCGGAGGATTCGTAACGTCCACACGCGCTGAACCGCACTCTCTCTCGCCTTGGTTTGGCCCTCCGTCGCTCGCTTTCTCCCGCGCTCGTGGGGCTGTAAAATAAATGTTCGCTTCAGTAATCCGTTGCTTGTGCCAACGATTAGTGAATTTGAGCCGAGGTTATCTCTGCTGCGGTGAAATGGCTAATCGATAATGGGAGGAAAAGCGCTCTCCCGCCCTTGAGGTAACGCATTTCGTCGATTGCGTATTTGCGTCCGTACACACGCGCGCGCGCGTGCACGGAAGAGTAACGAGCGGCGTTCTTTTGCTCATTAAGGGAAAACAAATCTGCTGGCTCATTAACAAAACGCAACGTTCCACAGCGACGTGCAACGCATTAACGTGAGAAGTTAACGACGGCCGCACCAAAATTAGCAGCGCCGTGTATCCGGGAATCCACTCCCGCGGAGAACAAGGGTCGGTGGTTCATCTTCTTGGTTCTTTCGGTAAAGTCACGTAGAAGGGAAATAATAAAATAAAATAAATAAAACATAATAAAATAGAGAATTATTTTATTATGTTTTATTTGTATTATTTTATTATTTCCCTTCTACGTGACTTTACCGAAAGAACCAAATAAATAAAACATAATAAAATAGAGAATTATTTATTATGTTTTATTTTTATTATTTCCCTTCTACGTGACTTTACCGAAAGAAACAAGAAGATGAATCCCTGCAGTCACGAAAGCTTTACATCGGAAAAAAAAGGGTCGGTGGATTGCACGGAGGACCTGCGTTCGTCACCGGGCTGTAAGGTGGCCGCCAGGGTCATTGCCCGAAACGTCACCCGTGTATATACTTTATAAGGCCACAGCCTTGAATGAATGAATGTGAGTAGAGTTTTTTTTTGTTTCTCTCTGTATAAAGTGGATTTTACTGCCCATTCCCCCACCCCCCTGAATAACCCAGAGTGGGTGATTGTCCTGCACCGACCCGGTCCCCGCTAGGTACTGCCCATGCTGAGTCAGCTCTTTCCGGGCAAGTCGGTGGGCGACGTCATGGCGAGCGAATTCGCTCGCGCTGCCGCAGCAGCCACCTCGAGGTCCTCTGCACGGGGGGGAGCAGCTGGCCCGGGCGTCAGCACGGACAGAGCATTGGCGCCACCACGCGGCCATCGCACGTAAATGCAACTAACAGCGACCGACGAACTCCCCCTCCTCCTTCTCCACCTCCTCCTCCCCCACCTCCTCCTCCACCTCCTCCTCCTCCCCCACCTCCTCCTCCCCCACCTCCTCCTCCCCCCCCACCCCCCCACCTCCTCCCCCCCCACCTCCTCCCCCCCCACCTCCTCCCCCACCACCACGAACATCCTCCTACCAACACAGCATTTCATAAGCCAGAGCGCGCACGCCATCCTGAATGTGGTCAGTCGGCAGCGAGTGAATCTGGATAAAAATCCACGTGGCCAAAGGGAGAACATCCAAACTCCACATACAGCAGGCGTCAGGGGTCGAACCCACGACCTCCTGTATACCAGGCGAGGTAGTTAACATCTCGCCATCGCAATGCGCTCGGTGGTCTCAGAAGTTGAGTCTCCGGGCCGTGCTTGGAGTGGGCGACCGCTGAACAGAGCAAGGCTCGTGGTTTGTCAGCAGAGGGCAGTACAGCAAAATGAATTGTTCGACTGCACTCCCACGCTCTCACATACATGCTCCTCCAGCCTTCAGTGCGGTAAAGTATTGTCAAATAACCCTCATGACCGACGGTGGATTGCCAAAAGGCCTGTACGTGTACAAATTGTTGGCTTTGGGTCAGAGCCGTGTATTTTTTTTTATTGGGAGAAAAAATGACATTCAGTCCGAGGAAACGGGTTTACAAAATAACTCTCCAGTGTAAAGCTAGAGCAGCTTGCATCGCCTTGCACCTATTCCGTATTTTTTTCCTGTCGTTGTCAGCGGTTCAACACCGGGTGAAGGAACTCCCCAAACATCCCAACTGCCTGGCACGGGCGACGCCACAAACAGCGACGCCACAAACGGCGTCGCCTCTCGCGTTCCGAACTCTCGCCTAATCCGCAAACTGATGGCGGAGAAGAAAAAGGTACCTTTACGGGGATCTTTCTTTCACATTACATCGCGAGCTTTGTTTTTTCTTATTGCTGTTTTTTCGTACGGCGTTGCGAGATGCAGGTATTGCATGGACACAGTATCCAAAAAATATATATTCGCGAAAACTTTAACAGTGTTTGGCTATTGAGCCGTTTTCAATTGTAATCAATGAACTTGAGGATCGCCGTCCTTTGCAGGCGGATGTGGACGTCAGAAGAGCGCTGATGGAGAGGGCATCTCTGAGCCCCGCGGTGCCGAGACTGAGGGTCGTGCATGAAGCAAGCGGCACGCAAGCGAGCGGCACTGACCGGCCGTACACGTGGAGGACCTTCAGCCAGCACCGCTGAGGGCCAGGCTTCCTGGTAACACTGCCAGGTCTCACCTTACTCAAAGTGTCGGGTGATTTTTTTGTTTTGTTACCGTGTAGATTTTTCGCGCTCATGCCGTACAGCTCACCGATGCATTCTCGCAACTGTTCCTGAAAAGCTCCCAGGTGGTGGAGCGAAACAGCAGGCCGGTACAACCCAAAAACATACCGTTATTTTTTTCCAAATTGTACCTTCTTTGTGCCATTGGCGTCATACTATTCAGATCTGTCGGAGAGCAGTGTGACTCTTTCTGTTACAGAAAGGCCCACGGAAGTGGACACCACAGAGCTACCTGCGAGATCCCTGCAGGTGACCTCAACAGTTCGACACAGCTGGGGGACAGGACTGTCCCGCCTGTCGTGCAAAATAGCAGCGTTCGTTGTACAACAGCTAAACCAATCTTTAATTCAAGAGGAATTTCACCAACATTGCAGGTCCAAACGTAGTGTTATCTTTATTGTGGTCGGTGTGCAATCATGAGTGACCAGCCTGAAACCATCAATTAATTTGAATCAAGTACCGCTGTTTAATCACAGGCGGTTTCATGGAATCGAACTCAGAATCCTAGCGGCGCTCTCACCCAGACCTCTGGGCCACTGACCACTTTCCTCTCTGGCCATGCAAGCGTAAGCAGAACAGCTGAGGAAACAATGGCAATTCTCACCAAGAGGCTATCCCACAGACTTTCAAGAACTGTCAAAACAAATGAGCAATTTTATCTAGCAATTTGTGGCGCAACGGATTGTTATTTCATTTGTTTTTATCCTTCTATGGTACTACGATGAATAAATGTACGCGAAAGATATAATTTCCTCAAATTCATCGTTACCCATCGCTTTCAAGTTAACCAGAAACATCAACTTTCCATTCAAGTATATTAACTTTCCTTTAAACTAAAAGCTAAACTATTAAACATTTAACTTAACCAGGTAAGGCCCACTGAGCTATAAAGTTTTTTCAAAAGAGATCTGGCCACAAATGATAGCTCAATGAACTGGCTTGTGGAAATTTATAGCAGCCAAATACTCGAAACACATGTTTCTATATGTAGGAGAAAAATCTACGCGACCAGTGAGAGAGAGACATGCAAACTCCAAATATACAGGCGCCAGGGTCGGGATCGAACCCACGGCCTTTTGTATAACCAGGCGAGGTAGTTCACATCTTGCCACAGAGGCGTTTTGTTGCATTGCAAGTGTATAAACTACGATACCCTTATGCACCAAGTAATCACAGTAATTGATTCAAGTTTTAGCAATGCGATTTACTAAAAACATTCAAGCCTCAATGAAAGAGATGCACCTTTAAACGTTATCGTGCTCATAGCCAAAACGGCAGCAATAAGACTTTCTCCTTAGAGCTATGCAGCTCTGCCACTGGTAGATCACAGCAATTAATCAGTCAAGAGCAAATTTTATTCCAACACCTCAGGTGTTATTAATACTATTTTCTCTGCTCCAGTTGTTCGTCATCACAAAGTGTTGGTTCATCAGAGAATTGGAGACACTGTGTCGTAGCGATGCAATGCACATGCAATTTCACCCAAGTTCAAATCCCATGTCGTGCATCCAACTTGCAGAACACGCGTTTGCTCTTCCGAGTTCTCGACTGAATGAAGGCGCTGCAGAGTAACAGCGATGGTGGCAGGAGAGAGATTTATTTTTTTGAGCTGCCGTTCCCGGTGGTGACGAGTCTACTCCGACAGTGCGACCGTTACGATCGAAGAATCCTATTGCTGCTTACACTTGCTTTCATCTTCACAGCGCGTGCTTTTGGTTGAACGGAGAATCAGTGACGTGAAGTAGCGGCGATGGGGGTCATTTAGCCCCGGTTTAAAATCCCAATCCTGAGTTGCAGAACACACATCGTCCGTCGCCGAGCTCTCGATCGGTCAAAGAGGTTGACCGAGCAACAGCAGCAACATCAGTCGATGAAGTTGTTGGAGAAGAGGTAACAGCGACGAGGTGGGGAGTGGGGGGGTGGGGTCATTGGTGCATGAACAGCGCCGCCCGCTGGGCCACGTGCTTACAGCCGGCGACGGCGAGGAGGCCCTCGCCCTGCGGCCAGTAGGCGAGCGAGGAGGCGAGGCGCCACACGAGGTCGGGACTCGGGTGACGCCCGCGCGCCAGGAACTCGTCGCACACGCACAGCTGCACGTGACGCGGCTCCAGCGGCAGGAAGACGACTGGCGTCACGAGCCGGAGCAGCGGCGCGCTCTTCGCGTCCTCACCTGTTGCAAGCGGAAGCGACGACCCCCGTCAAGACTCGCAGGGCAGCGGAAATCCCAGGCCGGTGTTTTAAAGATTAGCGTCGCGATGTGCGTATGCATGTATGTTGAATTTCTTTCGCGCCGTACGTAGCCAACTGTGCTAATCGGAGTTGCTGGGGAAGGACAACAAACTAAACCACAAAAAACTGTTCTAAAAAAATGTGTTTTCAATCTGGATTTAAAAGTGCATGGCTCTCGGTGGCTTCCTAACATCGTAAGGAAGATAGTTCCAGATGGTTTGCCGAAAGCCACTGCTGTGAGGATGGCCGGAGTTCGCGTAATGATAGTTTATGCTCCTTGACGAGATGTGTTTGAGTTAACCGCACCGGTCAGTTCCGACTGATGAAGCGGGGGGATGTCAGGACTGGTTCAGGCACCATCTCACCCCGCCGACTGTTAATCGTGAACGGCAATGGAATTGACGTCACCGGGTAAAAAATATCGTAAATATTGCACAAACATAAATTGACGTTACACTTTTTTGAACGGCACGGAATCATTAACGTCCACTGTGAAGTGGACGTCGCGTATATTCTTACGGTTAATAATACGCCAGTGGGGCTCTAACCGCAAGCCTCCGAATCGAGCGGCAAAACGTGCCACCGCCGCCCGCCAAATCACGGCCCCATGCATATTTCCTCCTCCAAGGCAGCGTTCACCGCAGAGGTGGCATGTTGCCCACGCGTTAATGTTGTGCCACATCCCGCAGTGGACTGAAGAAGGACCACGCACGCACGAGAGACGCCATTTACCGAGGTGCTGTCGCATCGTCTGCCTTAGTTTGTCCGGCAGCTCTTCCATCGTTATCTCCGCTCGGCCCCTTCCACTCTGCAGCACCTCCAGTGTCCGCGTATTAATCAACGATGTCCCGATGTTACTGCTGCACACAGCCAGACGAACAAAAAATAACAACCACAACGTTCAGTTGTAAATGTTGTGGGTTTAACACCGCTGAACTAGTAACGAATTGGCATGTTTTGTTTAAGTGACAAACCTTACTAATTGGCTGTGTCGGGTTGTGGCGGGTTTAACAACATGTTTATATTTACACGATCTGACCCAAAACATCTCTGTTATGAAAAAGAAACTATTTAACTGAACAATTTTATATTTCACCAGGTAATGCCCACTGAGCTATATCGCTCTTTTTCAGAAGCAATCTGGTCACAAATTATAGCCCAATGAAATGTCTTATCACGTGGAAATTTATAGCAGCCAAAAACTTGTGTTTCTAAATGTGAAGGGGAAAATCTTAAGACCCGGAGAAAAATCCACACAACCACGGGGAGAACATGCAAATTCCAAATATACAGCTGGCTTCAGGGTCGGGATCAAACCCATGACTTCCTGTCCACCAGGCGAGGTAGTTAACATCTCGCCACCGCGGTGCCCCAAAATAAACTGCTAACACATGCAATTATTATAACCGGCCCTTTACAACTTCAATGTTTCACAAGGTGAGGACTTGAGAGACCAAGGCAGAGTAGTTTGCATTAGTGACAGTCACCAAAATGCCAAAAGTGAAACAATGAAGAAAAAAAGAAATCAGAAAAAAATTAAATTGTCAAGCGAAACATTTTAAATATTGTACAAATATCAATTAACGTTTTAAAGTTTTATATTAAATTCCCTGCAGCTCGATTCAGCTCTGGCATACTATTTTTGGACTGATCAGAGTAAAATTACAACGTTAAGTAACAGATACATTAAGCAGTTATATTATGCTCATTTATATTCTGGGTTATTTCAGTAAAGTCACGTAGAAAGGAAATAATAAAAATAATAAATGTTTTAGTTTTTTATGTTTTATTTGTATTCTTTTTTTTATTTCCCTTCTACGTGACTTTACCGAAAGAATCAAGAATATGAATCCCTGCAGTCACGAAAGCTTTAAATCGAAATTTATGCTCATTTAGTTATCTACTCTCAGAGGTGAAGACAAGCAACAAGAGAGAGAGAGATACGATTTCCACTTCAAACCTTATGAAGAAGATCACGGGTACAAAGGGCCGAAAGGAGGTTTCTCCGCAGGGTTGACGGGCTCACTCTTCCGTGATCGGTTCAGGACCTCGGTAACATGGGGGGAGCCTCAGAGTCGAGCCGCTGCTCCTCCTGATCGAGAGAAGCCAGTTGAGGTGGTTCGGGCACCTGGTAAGGATGCCCCCCCCCACCCGGTAGACTCCCCCTGGAACTCTACCAGGCACGTCCCACTGGGCAAAAACCCCGAGGCCAGCCCAGAAAACGTTGACGGGACTATGTCGCTCGGCTGGCCTGGCAATGCCTGGGAATTCCCCAGGAAGAGCTAGAGTCTGTCGCCAGGGCAAGGGAGGTGTGGACCACCATACTCAACATGCTGCCGCCGCGACTCTCGCCAGGACAAGCGGATTGAGAAACGAACGAACCTTATGAAGATGAACAAGGCCTTTTTGTAGGCGCTCTGTGGGGTATCCAGAATGTGCAACAGCAGATCGTCCAACAGCCCCACAGACAGCTCCTCCACCGAGTCCACAATGAAGAGCGAATGTTCGCAGACTTGCACCCCCTCCAACAGCAAAGTCTCCAGTCTTTCCTGTAGCAGGGGAGAAGATAGAATTCCACATCACTGCACTGATTGTTTGGCGATCGAGCACTCGCCGGTTCACACTCGACACATGCTCACAGGCCATCAGTTGTCCCCTTATCACTCTTCGATTGCTAATTTCCATGGCTACTATTCTCCTGTGAACGACACGTGTTGATTCCTCCACCCGTGTTGAGGACTCGGTAAATTTCCGTGAAATAAAATAGTATAGGCATATTCAGTTCCTGTTAGTAAATAAAATGGGAAAGACATTTTTGAGGATTATGTTTTAAAATAATCTAATCGTGGGTGGGTAATGATAATTACTTTTGATGAATCTCGTGGGCAATTACAAGGGAAATTCCACCACGTGTCAACGATGATGTTGTTTACATGCGGTGTTACACAGGCATGTATTTATTTGTACATTAACAGGGAGTGTGATTAACCGGCACATGTTGGACAAGTTTGGCTCATGTGTTCGTGGTAATCGATTTCAATGTTGACAAAGTACAATTACCTAATTATCTTGGGGGACAACCACCCCACAAATACTCTTGCTGTTGGGCATGTAACAGCGATTCTGCCCCCATAGCAATTAGAATAAACGTCACAATTCCACGCGAGAATTAAGTCTCTCTTGTTCAACGTTGACTCTCTCGGTTGCGCTGCACGTGGTCGCTCGTGAGTTTGACCTTTGACTCAAAACACAATCATGGGGAACACCGACCTCCTCCTGTATTCCTGCCATCCACCCCCTGCCCCCACCCTTGTCCCCCCCCCCACCCCCCGCAGGCAGCCCCCTATGGATACAACACACACCAACGTACGGCGCCCATGCTTCTGTTTCACTTGTCACAATGTCGGTGTCCACTCTCTCTCCCATACGTTTGTACATCTCCGTTATTTTGAAGGCCCATGCATGACGCATTTCCACTTGACCACATGTAATTGTGTGTAATGGTTCTCAATTTCTGACTGCTGTGTACAACTGTCTGCTCCATGAATCAATTAGTACCAGGAAGCATGCACACATTTGCATATCGTTTGCGTGCACAGTGAGTAAAGGATTCCTTAGATGATGCACGATTTGATGCATACATTGCGAGCAAAATAATTTGTAATCGTTGGTACTGTTTATCAGCTTTAGTTGTTTCCGCTCCACTTCGACGTCGCAACACATCATTTATATTGTAAAGATAATATTATTACTTGCAAAATTGTATACATGTGTTGCTTGCGTAAGAATCAATTAATCATAATTAATTCTCATGTATATGACACGCGTCGAATCAGGTACGTAAGAAAAGATTGCAATGTACGCATAGGATATGCTTGCTTTAACCAGATTCCGTTCCGATGATGTACGTGTAAGCATGTGTACAACATCGGAACGGAATCGGAAGTAAAAAAAAGTCTATGCGGGAGGGCATGTGGCGCAGTTGGGCGCCAGCCATCGTAGAGTGCGGTCGTGTTGCTACAGTTCTATGTGGTGAGTACAATGTATTTAAAAACAGCGGCGCTATGCCTCTCTAGATACAATTTACGCTAACCGCAAGCGGTTATAATTCATTTTAATTGATGGATCGATTTTAAAACGTTGCATCCCTGCTAGCTATAGCCGACCTGTGCCGAAACACCCCTCTCTCACCCGGTGCGCGTGGCGATCCTCCGTCCCCGAGAGCAGCAGGCTGGGCACTACCGCGTGCACGCACTGGCTGCTCATGCCGTCGCTGTAAAGGTGCCGAGCGAGGGTGCGTGCCGCGTGCGACTTCCCTGTGCCGCTGCCGCCGAACAGCATCAGCAGCCGGGGCCCGACGTTCGTGCCGTCCCTGCGCGCCAGCGAGAATCGCCACGCTGCCCTCTCGAGCGAGCTGCGCGCCAGGTGCTGCCCGTGGAGCCTGCGGTGCAGCTCACGCCGCAGGCCTGAAACGGGCAAGGCGAACAAACGTCAAGACAGTGGGCTTCTTTTTTTTTTGGTTCTTTATCTTGAGCCCCACTTTGCAGCCCTGTTTATTTATTAAGGTCCTAATTTTATTTCGTGAACACGGTGCTGCTGCCCGTGCGGCCTGCGGTGGAGCTCACGCTGCAGGCTTGACCGCAACGGCGGGGAGAGCAGCGTCACCGTTCGTTGTTTGGCCATTTCCATGAATGAGCGTTGGGGACATGGAGGGGAAACTGGAGTGCCCGCAAAAATGTATGTATGTTGATTTCTTTCTCACCGTACGTAGCCAACCGTGCTAATTGGAGGTGCGGGGGAAGGACAACAAACTAAACACAAAAAGCAGTTCGAAAAAAATTTGTTTTAGTTAGATTTAAAAGTGCATAGCTCCAGTGGCTTCCTAATATCGGAAGAGCATTCCAGACGGCCACAGAAGCGCATCTAAACGCGCGCGATGCAGTGACCGTCATTGTTTGATGGCTAGACAAAAGCCGCTGCGAGGATGACTGCAGTTCGCGTGATGGTTTATGCTCCTTGACGAGATCAGCAAGGTATTGTGCTTCATTAGTGTAATGAGTGCGACCTTATAATGTTTTCGTTCAGCAACCGGAAACCAATGCAACTCGGTGAACTACATGCCTCGGGGGGGGGGGGGGGATAACACTCAAATCTTTTAAAATTTGATAATTGAATCAAGAATACGTACACTGCCTTCCACTGCCATCTTCTGGTAATCTTGATTCTCTACAGCCATTTAATCAATATGTGCATCTGGCCCATCTAAATCAGTGGCAGCCAACCTGAGAGGTCGTACACCGCAGAGATGGAGCCATGAATTCAACTCGTCTGCAGGTGCTAGATGGTTCGCTACATCACAAGACGGTGGGAGATAAACTATTTATAATTTAACGGTAAAGCCCACCGAGCTATATAGCTTTTTTCAGCAGCGACCTCGTGACAAATGGTAGCCCAACGAAGTCGCTTATGTAGAAATTTATAGCAGCCAAATACTCTAAATGCATGGTTTCTAAATATGGAGTAAAACCCAGAGATAAATCCACGCGACTACGGGGAGAACATGCAAACTCCAAATATACAGGCGTCAGGGTTGGAATCAAATCCACCACCTACTGCATATGCCAGGCGAGGGAGTTAACATCTCGCCACCGCGTCGCCTGATGTCGACAACTCGGAAAGGTCAACATCCAGCAGAGGATTGAGCACGGCTGATGACAGGTGGAGAAATGTGATGCCTTAAAGACACCGATACATTGGAGACATTTGAAAATGATGGAAGTCGACGCTTAAAGGATTATTAAACATCAGGAAATGGAAATTGTCACCGTGGGGGAACGTAAAATATCCCCTGGCTGTGGGAGGGGAGTTGAATGTAGTATTGATGGGGATGTGTCATCCCCCATTGCTCGGTTGGACTTGTTGAAGGCGGCAGCAGCCGTGTCACCTGGCAGGTCGGACGTAATGCGGCAGTCGTGGTCCAGGCAGCCGAGCAGGGTAAGAAGGCTGGGTGCCGGCAGGAAGCTGGGGTAGGTCTCCGACGGCGAGGTTCGCATTTCATTGTCCGCCAGGACCTCGACTGTGGGATTACAGGTGGGGGCTTGTCAAGAGGGCCAAGCAAGCAGCACGCTGTACTGATTTACCGTATTCAACGGATTAATAGGATGCACCCCAAACCTGTACACAGTAGTTATACACATTTGGCGACACCCCCACCGGATTATAAAAGTCCCAACTTTTGCTTTAAAATACACGAAATGAGTGTGTACAGTATCAATATTCGGTGAATATGTTACGATTAAATGTCATTGGTTTACCCAGAAAAATAGGATGTTTGGCCAATTATATTCATCGGTGCTTGGCATAATACGCAAGGCAAATGGAATAATGCTCAGTGAAAGTCCACACACGCGGGGGGGGGGGGAAACACTAAAAAGCTCTGCACAGCTAGATACAATAAGTGTGGTCGATACCAAGGTACAACCCAACGTACTAAATGTTCTTGCGCTTGTAGATAAAGCACATGGGCCAAAGTTCTCTCAAATCCACCCCCCCCCCCGTTCATAATTACCAAACGAAAGCGTGCATTATCAGGCGTTACACGTGGCGCGTTCAACGCGTCTGATAATACATACATCTTGCATTGTGCGGAGATGATCATCATGATGACGATATAGATCACAGATCCGTGATTTTGTGATTCACACCCATGATGCTACGACGAGTTAAGTGTAACGTGGCAAGCCACTCGTGATAATGACCAGCTTAGCTTACTATACCAGTGCTTGTACTCGTGATGTTATAAGTGGGTTATCAGTGGTGCTGTCATACTATGATGCGGTACAAAGCGATGTTAAGTAGTGGCCGATTAAAACAAAACCACAGCGATGTTGCGACCGATACCTGTGATGTTGTGGCCACGAATTTGGCAGCTTCTCTCGTCCACGCAGTCCCGCGCCCCGCAGTAGAGACGGCTGTAGATGACGCCATTCTGGGGCACGGAATTGAACCAAGAGGCCACAGCTCCCGACCAAACAGCGGGGTCGGTCCAGGCCCAGGTGGGGTGTGGAGCTCCCGGGGTCGTGGCGCCAATTGCCGGGGGGTTCCACAGGGACGGGAGAATCGTCAGCGCCAGCAGCGCACGAGCAGTCATCGCTGCTGCATGCCCAGCATGCTCCTCCTAGTTCGGGGGGGGGGGTTCCTGGAATTCCGAATCGAGCGTCGGACCGTCGGCGATCTTCTGGGACGTCTGTTGTGTTGTTGTTGTTTTCCGCTTCGGGGGGTGATTGCTTACGCGTGCAATGTTTCGGAGTTCTGGCTTCGGAGGGAGCCGTGGTCGAAGGTCGGGCTTCAGGGCCCAGGTTACTGGTGTCGTCCGCCTTCCGTGGGTGCGAGGTCCGGTCTTCGAAGGAGGCTTCTTGGATGCTAAATAAAGAGGGGGGCTAAGCGGCCCGGCTTCCGTGATTAAGACCACACGGAGCTGGAGGGCGATAAAACGGCGCCCCGGGCTTTTCGCGCTTGAAGACAAACTCGAGCAGAACTTGCGTTGAGCTTTGGGGGGGCGGGGGTGGGGTTCTTTCGTGATTCCAGCGGGGATCAGGGAACTGAAGCCGGCACTAACCAGTCTACGAGAGAAGCGATTCGGGGGGCGATTGAAAAGTCTCCGGTGGCGAGCGACAAAGCCACCAACCACCTCGTGGCACGCCCACGTGCTCCTGACACGCGAAGCTACTTCCGCAACATCGCGGAGAAATGTAGTGCGGCGTCACCGCGTGTTTCGTGTTTTTCCCCCCCAATCTTTTCGCGCAATGACTAACAAGTGCTATTATCGACCTTAAAATAATTAGGGTGATTGCACTGCGCGGGAGTGCGGAGCAAATTGAGCAATGAGCGAATCCGAACAGGCAACTATCGGGCCGCCTATGCATGCTTGGGGCATAGGGGTCCTTGCGGGGGTCCTAACGGCGCCCGTGCGATCAGGCAGCGCCGCGGACAACTAAGTCATGCGGGAGCCACTTCACGCACCACCTTTCGCGCGTGTCGCGCCGCGGCAGAAAACTAGTTTCTTGTTTTTCTGCAACTTTCTCTCAAAGTGCATCGCGTCTCGGTGCCTTTTCTCAACTTGGCTCAGCTTGGGACGTTACAGCACATGCGACGGAGCAAGTTTACGCTGCTCGCGATGTCAAAATACGTCACTTTTGCCCCTCAGTGACCGGCGCAGGGATCCGTGCGGTGAGCTGCCTATGAAAATGGCCGCGTCCCGGAGTGCAGGTAACGCCACAGCGCGCCGCGGCTTCCTTTGCCTCGGTTCATCCTCCTGCTCGTTGCCCGACGTTCCGGGCCGCGGCGTCGGATAGCAGTCGGGTTCGAGGGTGCACCGAGTCGATTAGGAGAGTCGGCGAGTGCGGTCGAGATGTCCGCGTTGAGGTAACGGCGGCGCCGTCAAAGCGCCTGTGTGCCTTCTAGTCGAGTCAGCTGTGCAGAAGCATTGGCCAGGCCGCAGGGAACGCGGCAAGAGAGCCGAGATTTTGTTTGACAGAAATGTTCTATTTTGTTGATAGAAATGTTCTATTTTGTTTGATAGAAATGTTCTATATTGTTAGAACGTCTTTTAATGGGGAGGGCTTCGTTCGGCAGTGGATCGAGCGTTGATTGTGATGGCAACAGTGCAGCAGAAGCGACCAGAGGACACCACGGGGGGAGAGAACGATGCAGATTAACAGTATTTACAAGTCAAATGTGTTAATTCGGTATATGTGTGTGCTTTGTTTGAAAGTCTTATTTTTATTTTTTCACCGAGTCTACATTCGTAAGCGATGCACTTGTGCCCTGCTATGGGTGGCTCGGTTGGGAGATCGCTACATCGCAGCAGGCTCGTGAGAGATGACGTCTTCTTCAAACCAAGTTTAGATGACGTCGTCTTCTTGAGGGTTTCATCGATCAGTGGATTGACCACGGCTCGCTCGTGTTGGGAACGGCTGTGCCAGGAGAAGCGTCCAAGCCGCGGCGGACACGGGGGAGGGGGAAGAGGGGAGAGGGAACGAGTTTTCTCAACGTCTTATTTCTAGTTTATTGTTAGCCGTAGTTCGTAAAGTGTGTTTTTTTTTACTTTAAGTATTTGTTGATTTGCCAAATGTGTTTTGTGATGCATTTGTGCCTTGACGTGGATGGTTTTGTAGATCGTTAACATCGCATGCTCGTGAGAGAGAGCGGTGGCTTGAGGAGCCATCCAGCAGTGGATATATATTAGATGATGATGACGACTTGTGGGTTGTAGACAAGGCTGTAACACCATACCAATTGTTTTGTATTTTAGTAAGGGTAGGTAGAGGTCTTGTGCCCCAAAGTGTTTTTTTTGTTGTTGCAGCATTTGCAATGCACGTGCAGCCCTTTTGTTTACTGCCGGATGAATGCCTCTCCACGCCTTGTGTCACGCATGGGAGTTGTTTCATCATACTCCATGGTGGTGGTTAGTGCAGGTTGGTGAAGACTGAGCAGAGGAAGGACCCACTCGGGTAGCCCTCGTCACTGGTGTAAGCCGTGGCATGGAATCGAACTCGTGTAATTGGTTCTTTGGTTTTTTCGGTAAAGTCACGTATAAAGATAAAAGAATAAATTAAATAATAACATACGACGTTTCGATTGCAACACAAGCAATCATCATCAGGTATAATGAAATAGCGACATAGAATCTAACCAGAAAACTATAGACAGACATGTAAGCAGACAGATATCTAACCAAAAATTAAGATCGTGTAATTGGGTTTTTAGCGACATTCTTAACCACCGCTTCACTCCAAATTGATAGACGCTACAAATTGCAATTCGGACACTAAACATGCATTCTGACCACGGTGAATGCACACACGGTTCCTTGTAAAAGGTTTCAGTTTGGTGTTTTAACATCTTACCACCTGTTTTGTTGCCAGAAAAAATGAGATCGGTCCATATTTAAATCCCAGAAATCTGATTGATTTACTTCACTGAATGCATTATGGTCTGTGTTTTGGGTTCTAGCCAAGGTGTAAATAAAATAAGTGAACATGCAAGGGTCTGATTTGCAGCCAAAATAATATGCTGTCACATTTTGGCCTATAAATTTGTAAGTTTAAAGCAACAACATTTTTGAGCAGCATTCGTTTATGCAGACAAGCAGTCGACTGCTTTTGGCTTGTGACAGATCAGCAACAATTTTTTATAAATGCGTATCGCTTGCTTGGTGTTAAGCATGAGCCTTTAACAAACGCGATTAATCTATTCAGTCCTTGCGGTACAGCAACATTTAACAACATTTGTTCAGTCTTGTTGAGTTTTGCGAGTGGTGGCCAGAGTTGCTGTGCTGCGACTGGAGATCCGAGTTCCATTCTCTTCCGCGGCTAACATCACTTGAGTGATTATCTAAACCGGTCCTGGGTGCCCCCACACCCTTCGCAAACCCACACCGACCATCATGGTGAGGTATACCATAAGACCTTTTTTGCCAGTATCAAAGTATGAAAAAATAAGAATAGGGTCTACCCTTTCTGGCAATAAAACAGGTGTTAAACGCACGCACTTTTGGTGAGCATGCAAACAAAAAAATGTGTAGCTGCTCACCCCGAGCTATAAATGCCCTGAAAGTGCATTGTCTTTGTACTGTTCCCCTTTTGGCGTTCTCTGGTCTGACACTCGTGAGACTAGGCCCTCAAGAAGGCTGTCTCTGGTGTAGACCAATCAGTTTCAAAGACCATGCATTACTATCAGAGCATGTTTTTGTTTGCATGTTCACCACAAGTACGTGTGGGATGGTCAAACAACCCAACATGGCAGACACCGTATGGGGAGAGGGGTCCCTTGTCGATTATTATCAGCATAAATTGGTGGATTGTAGGTAATACATAAAATAGACGTTTTCTTTGCCTCGCTGCCAAAAAATGTAATTACATTTCGTTGCATGCGGTGATGGTCCTTGCACACCGGTGCTTCATTTGTTTAAAAGTATTAATGTTGTTGCTTGTCAGTTTAACACGTAGGGTTTCCTGATCAATATCCATAATACAGGTTTTTGTTTGGGTTACATCGCTTAAACATAAATGTGTCGTTAAACCCGCCACCACCTGACACCGCCAATTAGTAAGGGTTGTCACGTAAACCAAACATGCCAACTAGTACAGCACACTGGTGTGTTGGAGAGCAAATCCACAACATTTACGATCTGAGTGCAGTTGCTTGTGCACCACCATACTATTCTCTTTTGAGAAGTCTGTTGTGGTGTTGGTGGGGGGGACTAGTTTTTTCAGTGGTGCCGGGGGTGGCTTTTGAGTTCCTTTAGTAGGGGTGATTCCACATTCTTTTGTGTCTTGTGATGTTGAAATCGACAGCGCTGACCGTCATTAATACAAAAAAAGTTTGCGGTGGTATTTGCGTTGGTGCCCGTGAATGACAACTCCCCACATTGTCAGTAACTCTGCCTTACATGTTGAACGTATATCGTCAGATAACAGTCCACCAATGCTCTATCTTTGAAATGCACTTCCAAATGTAAGTCATTCTCTGCCCATTATCAGCTGTAAGGAAGGGTCAGTACCTCAAACATCTATACACAAATTTACGAGGCAATGTTAATGATGCACGTGGTATGCTTTTGATATTATTTTTAGAATACAATTTGGATTTATATAGCCTCTAAAATGTGACCGCATCTCATCTGTACAGAAATTGAGCACATTATTTTTTAGAACAAGGCATTCCGAGGAAGTCTGTTTTATTGTGGTCGTACACCACTCCAACGCAGTCTCCATTTTTTAATTGCTGTGTCCGTCCTGTTCTGTTTATTACATTTGAATATCACGTTTTATTTTGAAGTATGCATTTGGGTTAATATGTGCGAGCGCGCGATTCTCACTTGCCGTTTTATTTTAAGGGCAAAGTCCGGCTTCTTGCAATTGGATGTAATTTTTGTTCAAAAACACGGCCTGTTTTTTGAGCACTGATGTTATCACCCAGTTCAGCCTGGTATTTAAATGAGGAGCCCCGTGGACTTACTGTCTTCTCGTGCAGCTACGAATGACCGCGCCGACCTTACTGCTGCTCATTTGGCAGTCGCGCTCCGTAAATAACGCTTCTTTCCTCCAGTAAGACGGGTGTTTTTTAAGGTCACCCGTGTAGGAAAGGCAGTACAATTAAATGTATATAGCGTCCGTTCACAATTGCATCACAAGACATTTATGGTGGAACGGATGGCACGGGGGTGTATACATACACTCATTTTCCATAGCCGTCGATAGCAACGCAAGTGAAGCCAAGAGGTCTAGGTGTCCAGTGCCATCGATGTCACCTCAAATCGTCGTTGCTATGTTCTGCGAGCGGCTCTTACGGTCTCCATTGTATCGCACATAACCAGGAGTAATGCGTCATTTTGTTTATTTGGTTTGGGTTATTTTTTCCATGGGTAAAACCCATTGGGAAATAAAGTCTCATTTTCGATAGGGGACCTGGTTACACTATAAACCTGGTTACAGCAACAACAAAAAACACGGACAAAAAAAGCAATCTTATAAACAACTGTACATGGTCAAGTTCCTAATGGCAAGGTCGTCCGAAAGGCAAGGTCGTAGAGCGCTTCTTGCCACTGCAACCCCCCCCCCCCCCTGCTTACCCCAACCTCCTGCACCCTTGTACTTCTTGCAGTGGCCTATCCCGAGTGGAGCCAGTGCAGGGCTCTTACACCAATGGCTTTCTACTGGCTATTCCCCAAACCAGAATCTGGCTCGGTGCCAAGCAGGACCAGGGGCAGGATTTATTCATTTTTGTTGTGCGTTACATCGGTCGATACACTGCACATGTGCTGCCGACATCGCGCGTTGTATTGCGTGGGACGGCTCTGTTTCTGCAATGGGAAAACAACCCCTGGTGCCGCCGTAGCCACATCATGCCAACGTGGCACGGCCCCGGTGCAGCTTGGTTGTACGATGTAAAAAGAGATATTGTTGTCACCGGCAGCGAGGAACGGGTGCCCTCGGAGGAGGTGATCGCGGCGTGGGAGGATTATTTGACCCGGGTGGGGCTGAAGCGCTGGACCCTGGACGGCATCATGACGACACAGCAGGTGAACGCCACCGAGCTGCTGAGCCTGCTCGAGTCCTCGGAGCTGCAGGTAGCGGAGGACGTGCGCAGCCTGCTCGTCGAAAACCTCAACGTCGGTGAGCGGTGCGCGTCGTGCTGCTGGCGAGCAGAGGTTTTTAACGCGGAGGCCACTTTGATCCATCGTCGGGAGGTAGCGATTCACCGCCGCCTTCGATGATTAAAAAAAAAAATCCTAAATTTCATTCCGATTGTGCTATCCTATCATGAGACAAAGAATCCATTCGGAGCAGTGCAACCGGTCGTTTAAAAGGCAGAACTTTTCCACCCGCACCTCCGATTAGCTCGGTTGGCTACGTATGGTGCGAAAGAAACTACATAGGTACCTGCTCTCTCCCATCAAGGAAAAGTGTTTGTTGCACGAGTCAACTGTCTAGTCTCATTGATTCGGGAATATATGCAATTTAAGTGCAGATCCAATTTTTTATGTGATCATACTTCACTGCTGGTCAGTGCTGAGTAATTAAAGTGGAGAGCATAGGTTATTGGAGTGGTACATTTTCTTGTCCCGCCCCTGATGACAATGCAGCCCTGCAGCAGACTACATCGTGGTCACCCATCAAAGCGCTTTCCAGCTTCCGAGATTAAACGAGATTGGGGCGCATTCCGGGTGACTTGTTTTAGGGGCAGTGTAATAGAACCATCTTTGGGAAATGTGGTTACTTGCTATGCTGTTGCGCAGTGGAATGTGAGTGTGAAAGTGTTTGCCGTCGGATTTTTTCTGCAGAGCGTGGTCCGTGGCTGATGAACAGCCTGGTGGATTACTACATGAGCCACAATTCGGACCAGGCCCTGCAGATCCTCTGTTCTGTCCGCGAGCCGCATGACAAGGTTGGTTTGCAAAAAGCGATCTTCCCCCCACCCCCCTGAATCGAACCCAGGTTCCTCCTTGTTGCGAGGCACGAGTGTTACCCACTGCGCCGCCACCCTGCCAGTCCAAAAGCCACATGCAGTGTTTGTCATCCCTGTGTTTTAGCATCTCCTGGACAAGCTGAACGAGTGCATGGCCCGGGCAGCCACTCGGCTTCCCAGCCTCAACTTGCTGGGTCATGTCGTGCGGAGGCAGCCGTCCTGGATCCACAAGATCTACAGGGCTCCCGTGTTTGCGTCGCTGCTCAAGTGCCTAAAGGCAAGCACGTGCCTACAGAAGGAAATAACAAGGCCATCGGAACACTGGCATTGTGCTCCGATGGAGGGGATTGCAGTGTGTTGTACAGTGGCTGATCTATTGGTCTGTAACAACATAAGATGAGCAGACAATATACCTCCACAACATCTGTCTCTCCATGTAAAAATTAAAAGCACTTATTACAACATCCCATGAACCACAAAGCCCCTTCTGGGAGTGCATAATTGTAGCAGCAATAGTTCATCACAAACTCTGTAGTGCTGTGTAGTTGAGTTAGATATATTGTTCTGTCTGTGAAAGTTCATTAATTTACTTGCTTCTATTTTCTGTGTTTTAAGTAAGTGTATCTAAGTAGGAGTCGGTGGCGCAGTGCATAGAGCACTGCAATGCCAACCCGGCCTCCCGTGTTTGATTCCCGGTCATGGTTAACATCAGTGGCACGTTCTATATGAACTGGTCCTAGACTCCAACCCACTGACCAGCATGGTGATGTACAGTCAAAACAACCCCTACGATCGATGTAGGGTGCCGTGGGGAGTCCTGCATTCAGAGGTGAATTGACAAAGGGCTGAGAATTATTATTAAGCTGCACTGTATTGTCACGTGACAATCACCTCTATTAATAAGTTGCCACTGTCGCCAAACAGTCTATGGCATGTGACATCAACGGCCCACAGCTATTATTGTTTCGTGTTTAGAGTTTAACATCAATGGGTATGTTGACATTCGCAGTCGCTGCATCTTCGAGCGAACACAGCGCCAAAACCTTTACGATTCATTGCATAGAATGGTTTGCCAAACTCTGAAAGCCAGAATCAATATCAGCATAGCCACGATAAACTACCTCTGAGACGTACATGTGAAGTATGTTTGTGTTTTTATCAGGATACGCATCATGAGTGGCCCTGTTACAACATCACCTGCAATGCACCCAATCTCATCGGTGCGGCAAAATTAATCATTGTGCTGTACAATGCTCAAACATCACTTTCCCCCCCCCCACCAGCCTGCACTGACTAGTCTGGCGAAGCATTGAGTGCCGACGACAGTGAATATTTTGCCAAATGTTGGAAATTGCCTGCAAATTGTCCCCTTCTGCTAAACTACTGTGGACAATGTCCGCAAACCATGGCACCTTGGTGGTAGACTTGCTCTATAACAGTGTTCTTTACTAATTTTCAGAGGTGGGGGCCACTTTTGCCAATAACACATTTTAAACCATTGGGTTTGAGAGCAGCACGATGGGGTGTTGTTTTTACATTTGTGTATTGTCGGGGACTGCACGTCAAAAGCCGTGCTAAAGCCCACCCAGGATCTGCCAGTTGCCCGCGTGCCATGCAGTGAAGAACACTGCTCTAGTAATTGCGCAAGTTCTAAACCTATCTGATTATTATTGTTATGAGCAACCGAGCTGCGCAAGGCGGCCTCTCGTTTTACGGCGACCCACGACGTTTTCTCCGCAGACGGATTCCAACGAGGTGGTGCTGACCACGGGGGTGCTGGTGCTCGCCACGCTCCTTCCCATGATCCCGCAGGCCGTCAAGCAGCACGTGCACGAGATCTTCGACATCTTCAGCCGCCTCGCCTCGTGGGGGCTCAAAAATGCCGGTGTGTGCCTGCCCCCTGTGCCCAGCTGTACCACAAGGTGCCAGGCGGTTGTCTTGTCATACGGCTGATGTAGATGCCGATCGACAACTACAATTTCACATTTCGGTGGTCGAGCCAGATTACCGCGTCAGGAACAACGCACTTGTATCGCTGTGAGGTCTCCCTTCATATTTGTGGATCGAGCATTGTATCGTTATGTTATACGGTCTGTTTTGGACAACCTCGGTCGCACACTGGAGTTTTTAATTTTCCATTTGTGCATCAGGTGTCAGGCGGTGCCGATTGGCCAATCGACTATGCGTTCATTTTTTTATTTGGATAGTAGATATATATGTTGAACTTGATGTAGCCAACTATGGTAACTGGAAGTGCTCGGGAAGGACAACAAACTAAAGACAAAGCAATTCTAAAGAAATGAGTTTTCAATCTTGATTTAAAAGTGGATGGCTCCAGTGGCTTCCTAATATCGGAAGGAAGAGCATTCCAGGCGGGAGCATTGTTTCAAGACAAGAGAACTGAACTGATTTCGACATTCGGTGCCTCATCAGCAGTCTGTTTTACTCAAATCCATTTTGGGAAGCTGCTGCTCTTACAGGCAGGGACCTTGTCCTTATGATATGGGGGGGTGGGGGTGGAGTGGTGCTAATTTGACAGACTTTTTAATACATGACACACGCGATACATGATTATGAGTTGCGTAATAAATCCTGCCTGTGTTGCTGCCACCACCACCACCACCAGGCCACGTCCCGGAGGTGTGCGTGGTGCACCTGCATGCCGGCGTGTACGCCCTGTTCCACCGCCTCTACGGCATGTACCCATGCAACTTCCTGTCGTACCTGCGTGCGCACTACAGCATGCGGGAGAACAGCACCCTCTTCACGGAGGTCATCCTGGTGAGTGCTCTACCAAGCACAAAGACAAAGATCCCTCGTATAGTCTTAACAGACTGTTGGGGCAAGTGCTGTTAGCGAGCATCTATGAAGGCCAACACGAGGGGGTGGGTGGCCAGCACCACGCCCGGCCGCCTTTGTCTCCCCAATGGCGTTGTTTACACTGCACCAGGTACTCATTTGAGGCTGAGTCGACCTAGGAGAGGCTCAGGACCGACTCAGGTAATCGTCTCATCGGTGTTGGCCATGAGCGGGAATTAAACCCTGGTGCTGGGTTCGTAGCGCAGTCCACTAACCACTACACTACCGCTCCCCACGCACGCGCCCACACACGGCACCTGTCCAGCCTTTCATGGATGTCTCATGCGTTGTAATGTGCACTGTCTTCAATACCGGGCTAATTCAGGGGCGGGGTGGCTCCAGTGCAGACATGGTTTATAAACTCAAGTCAAAGTGATTTACTGCTGAAATGAGCGTCAAGGCAATACGCCTCTCCCATTTACAGCCATGAGACAATGGTGGAAATTCCACATTCCTATGACGGCTGGGGCAGGGGGCTTGGGTGGTGGGGGGGGATAATGGGGTTGAGTCAACCTCAATCAACCATGTTGTCATGTTCTGCACTGTGTTTTCTCAGCCCATGGTGGAACGCGTGCGGGTACATCCAGAACTTGTCACGGGGACCAAGGAGTACGAGATGGATACCAGCAAGTAAGTTTATCCCTGCCGTCATCGCACCTTCGTTCACAATGCTGCTGTCCATTGGGAGTTGGTTTGTCGGGTACGCATGCACGATCTTTTGAAACTCGCGATCATCAGAAACGCGTAGGCCAAGAAGAGCCGGAGGATTTCTCCAACTCTGGCTGTCCGCCTGCTGATGCTAGTTGTAATTGCTGGTGAAATGTCCTGCTCGAATTGTAAATGTTGTGGGTTTACTCTCCAACACACCGGTGTACTGTACTAGTAACGAATTGGCATGTTTTGTTTACGTGACCAACCTTACTAATTGGCTGTGTCGGTTGATGGCGGGTTTATGCGACATTTATATTTACGGGATCTAATCCAAAAACCTGTTATGGATGATATTGGTCACGTATGGCTCCTACGTATTTAAACTGACGAAGAGTCGTTGCGCCAAGCATTGGTCCACATTTCGCCGCATTGTAGAAAGCCTGCAAGGTTAGGCTGGTGTCCATCTATTGAAAGAAAGTTTAAAAAGTGGAATGCAAGTCTCCTGTTGAATGGAGACCTCAAGAACAAAGGAAAAATGATGAAAATGGTGTTTGATGATTTAAATCGGACACACCTGCGATTTTTACATGTTCTAGAAGACTGTAAATTGTCTTAATTAATGACGATAATTTGAACTTGTGACACGCACGGTGATCGCTCCTTCTCGAAGATAGAATGACGACTCATTGTCACGATCATCGCCAATGACAAAACCCTTGACGTGCATCTAAATCTGCTTTTTCTCCGAGGTGGAAGAAGTATGAGACTCAGGACGTGGTCATCGAGTGCGCCAAAGTGTCGCTCGATTCAAAGGAGGCATCGAGTGAGGAGGGTTTCTGCCCCGTCCCTGATCAGCTGCCTCTGCACTGCCTGTCCCAGGCGACACCCGACGTCTCTTTCCAGTCGGGTACGGCGCTGTTTGGGGATTACTTGTGCAGAGGCAACGTAAAAGTAATTTACAGCCCCCATAGTCTATCCACTGCCGGGTAGGAAAGCCTTTCCCACTCCTACTTGTTCAAGGGCATTGTTTTACCATACTTCACCATGCTGGTCATTGGAATGATGGAGTGGCGTAGGGAGGTGCCAAGGACCGCCACAAACGTTAGTCGTGGTCGGTAATCGAACTTGGGTTCGTGGGGAAATGCGCCAACAACTATGCTGCCACTTCACCCACATTTCGTTATAAAAATCCAAAATGCAAGATTTTCTAATTTGCACCCCCAAAAATTATAGCCCAGAGATTGATTTGTTTGCAGTCGGAGAGCAGAGTCAGCCTTTATTTCAAATTAGTTTTAAGTCTTATGGTGTACATTATCATGTAGGCCTTCCATCATTCGTAACTGATTGGCCTTCCGTAGAGTGTGACGGAAGCCGATAAGTAGCGGCCAAAGTGACTGGTGCAAGCATCGATTTCAATAAATTAATCGTCACAAGTCTGAGGGTCTTTGTGTTCCCTCCCTCCCTCCCTCCCTCCCTCGCAGGAGCGTCTCTCTCTGGCTCCATTTCCACGACACCTACATCGTCGCGGATGTCTCATTCCTCCACGCCCATGAGGGTGCGCCGCCTCTCGATGGAAGAAGGCGATATCAAGGGCCACCAGGTGACCAATGAACATTCATGCAGGCCTTACACGCAACATTAATTCAGTTGCTCCCCTCCATTAGCTGGTAGATGGACAGGTTAACCCATTGGCAGTGTGCTTTCTCCAGCCACGTCTGCGCCACACCCCCGTCGCTTCAGCTGGACATGGTTCCCACTGGTCCGCGTTTTCACATCGTGTTGCCGTGCCTTGGGTGACCTCGATCCCGTTGGCCTGGGGCTATGCCTTCGGTCATGATCGGCGTCGTGGTGCCAGCGACACGTCCACGTGATGCACGTTTGACGATGCTTCACCGCGCTGGTTACTGCGGGTTGGTGAAGAAGGGGGGTGGGGGGGGGAAGGCGGGGGGGCAAGAGTCTGGTTGAGATACCGTTCCCCGATGACCTCACAAAAGACATCGGTGAGAGGGCTGGGTGAGAGGGCTGCCACATTTGACAGCACCATGATAATGGAGGGTGTTTTCACATGTGTATTGTCAGGGGCTGCCCATCAGCAGCCGCACTAGCGGCCACCAGTGGCCCGCGGGCCTTGCAATGAAGAACGCTGTTCTATCGAGTTAAATTCCTACTTTAGCTCCCTCCCAGTGACCTCCGATAGTGACACGAGATGCCGCCCCTGTTGTTTGTGTGGGGGGCACAGAAGGGGATCCTGCGCTCCACGGCGGAGTGCAGCGAGGTGGGTTGGAGCCCCGCCAACGTGTGCGGGATGAGCACGCCGCCGTCGTCGCGCGGCATGTCGCCCGTGCACAACCAGAGCGACGTCGCCCACGGCAGCTCGTCGCAGCACGGTACGGACTGCACGAGAGAGCGTGAGGGAAACCGCTTCTGCTTCTCAATTTCAATTACGAGCTGCGTTCGTGGTTGAATGTAGCATTGCCAGTTGCTGCAGATGTCACGTGACTCATGATATACAATGCGAACGCCTCAAATAATAAATTCTCACATGCATGACTGGACATGTGTATCTTGAGCATAAGAATTAATTTGAATCAACTTGTGAAATATCCGTTAAACAAAAGTGCTTCAGGCTTGTCAGATAGGTGGAGAATGCACGCTCTAGCTCGGGATCTTCAAGATGAAAGCTGTTTCTTTTTTTTAGTTGTCCCTTCAATGCATAAACTTCTCTATTCCCAGCCATTTCGGGGACCCCCTTAGCGACCCCAACCACGTCCCCTGGACCGACCCCCTCGGACGAGTACGTTCACATCTCTCTCGACAGCACCGGCTCCTGCGCGGTGAGACCACACTGCAGCAGAGGTCCCCTTGCTTCCGTGCAACGTGTTCCATCCACTGCTGGATGAAGGCCCCTTCCAACCCGTTGCCATTTTTAGAATGTACATGCGTGTTTTGAGTATTTGACTGCTATAGATTTCTACGTTAATGAGTCAATTCGCTCGGCTGTCATTTGTGGCCAGGGCGCATCTGATACAGCTCTATAGCTCAGTGGGCTTTAGCTGGTAAAATTAAAAATAGTTTAGTTGTAATCTCTCGGTCTCACATTGCAATGAGCTGTATAGCTTCTGCACATGAGCTGTCTTCATTAGTTCATCTGTACGTTATGCACCATCCTTGGGTATGAATCATCCTTTAGCTGACACTCTCTCCTCGGTCGCGACCATTGCCCATTAACTTGCTTCTAATAAATTAAATATAACTAATTCATTAGCTAACAACGTCTTGATATTTCTTCCCCTCCTTGTATAGAACAAAATGCATTTTTTTTATTATTTTAGTGATGGCCATGCTGAAGCCCGTTTTTCAATATTTCTGCAAATAATGTGCCACTGAAATAAAAACAAATTGTGAAACAAATCACATGGCTCCCTTACCCAGCTGTCCCACCAACCGTTGGGGTGCACAACAGTTCTCTGCAGCATCTCTTATGCTGCCGGTGTGTGTGCGATTATTGTCGCGTGTTGTTTTACACTGATGTTGATTCACTCTTGTTTGCTCAGGAGGCTCGACAAGAAAAGCCCAGGCCTGGCGTCGGCGACACAGGCAGTGCAGGCAAGGTTACTGCCCCCTCCATTGGTAAGCCTCCACTGAGTTTATTTGGATTTTGCATGTTCGCCACTGGTGGCATGGATTTTTCTCCGGGTCCTTCAGTTTATCCCTCCACATTTATAAACGTGCACTCAAGAGTATTTGTCTGCGATTAAGTATCCACATGATAAGCCGCCACTTCGTTGAGCTGTCATTTGTGGCCAGGTCACATCTGAAAAAGAGCTGTATAGCTCAGTGGGCCTTACCTGGTAAAATAAAAAATATATTTTCGTGAAATTTTCTAGAGTGTTTGCGGCAACAAACTTGTTTTTTGCGGCACAGCTGCCTCTGAACTACATCTCGCATCCTCCGCGCTGAGTCCGTTTCCCTTCCCGTGCCGGCCCTGCAGACAGATCTCTGAACAACTCTGCGGCTGAGCGCCACGCTGCCAAGAGCAGTGCCGTTGAAGTGGGAAAGCAAGGTATGCTGGACTTCTTTCTCGCCGTACAGAACCAACCGTGCTAATCGGAGGTGACGGTGATATTTGGCTTTTGGGAATTGTCTCTTAAGTGTCATTTTGGAACTCGGTTATTGCAGACTGCATGTCTCGCAGTGGTTAGAACACTGCTGTTTAATCCCAACAGCCCAGGTGGGTTAATTACTGACCGTCTTATTTTTTCACATGGCATTTGAAAGGCAATGGACCAATGTAAAATGTAGTAGCATTATTATGATTGAATCTCAAGCGGTGAGGATTCTGCATTAGAATGTTTAACACGTAGATTTTCGTGACCAATATCATCCATAGTTTTTTTTGGGTTAGATCACGTAAATATAAATGTCGTTAAACCCATCACCACCCGACAGCCAATTATAGTAAGGTTTGACACGTAAACAAAACAGGCCAATTCGTTACGAGTTCAGCACACCGGTGTGTTGGAGAGAATCCACAACATTTACTATCAGAGTACGACGTTTCGCCAGTAATTACAAGTAGCATCATCAGACACACATCTGGCTGTCCGCCAAAGCGTCAAAGCGCCGGATCACAGCCGTGTGTGTGCTGCCACGCCCGCCAATGGCATTTGTTTTCCGCCAGCACTTGCATCTAGCAGCCTGACCACGCGTGTTGCCGTGTTTGTGCCTGCGCGAGCGCAGCGGAGAGCGAAGGAGGAGGAGGAGGGGAGAGTGCCGTGGGCAGCCCGGGCAAGGTGTCCCTGAAAGAGCTGCAGATGGTCATCGAGAACCTGGCCTCCTGCGCTCCTGCGGAGAAGGACGGCGAAGATGGTGGGTGCCCCGCTCCTATCCCCGCCCACAGCGAATGCCTCCCCTAACCTCAGCATGCCTCCGCATGCCTCCGCATGCCTCCGCATGCCTTGCGGGTCGTCCATGTTATTTGACTGCACTGCACCACCCTGGTCAGTGCGGGTTTGTGAAGGCGGGAACCGTAGGCGTTGAAGCATAGAAGTTGTTGAGATTGGATTGGGTGACTGCCGTATGTGTGGCTGGTTTTTTTCGACTGTGGGGCTACATGGTGGGCAGCAGAGGGTAGTGCACACAAGATCAAATGTTGTACTGTGCTTCTTTGCTGTCACATCTGTGCTGCCATCACACTTTCATTAACCCAGACTGATCATTGCTAGTGAAGTATGGTCAATGAATGTCCATGACGTGCATGACGCGGGGAGGTCTCCTTCAGCAGTGGATGATGAAAGTGCTCTACGTGTACACCTTGTGTAAATACCGCTGACGAATATTGTGGCTGAGTCAATCGTATTACAAACTAGAATGCCGTTTCATTTAACTGGTATGTCGTTACTCCATTATCTGTTACTCTATACCTTCCCTATAAACAGCAATTCATCATCACCAATGTTCTATCTACTGCTGGATGAAGGCCTCCCCATGCCTGCGCCATCCCTCACATTCTAGTGCTGCTATCATCATTATTAGCGTGCTGAAGTAAAATAAATAAAAAACTCCTACGATCTGTGGGATTGACAAAGTCCTCTACGTGTGCATGCAACGCATATTGGTAGTACCATATATTTTCCACGCCGCAGGATGTTTTCTTTGAGAATGCGTGGTTCGAGGGCCTCTCTTCACGGAATCGCACCGCTTTCCCCCCTCGCCGTGTCTGGCAGTGGCGGTGAACGACGAGGTGTCGGAGATCAACGAGATGTGTCCAGCGCCGGCCGACCATCGGGGCGGCTTCGACTCGCCCTTCTTCAGCGCCGATGCGGCGCCGCCCGGCACGCAAGCCGCGCCGGGCACGCAAGCCGTGCCGGGCACTCACGGCGGGGAGGCGGCCGTGACGCAGGCGGTGCACCAGACCGTGGCCGCCTCGTCCGCCAACAACAGCTCGAAGTCACAGGGCCTCTCGGAGACGTCTCGTAGCACGAGGTGAAGCCCGCTGAGCCACGCTCGATGTTACCTTGCTCTATCGGCTCTCGGTTATAGAAATCCGACGACGCTTGAGAGATGATGCACCTCCGATTAGCACTGTTGGCTACGTATGGTACGAAATAAGTTCTACATACATTCATGTGCTTGTAGTACGTAGAGTCTCTCGTATCAGGATTTTGGATAATCTGGAGTTTGTAGGTGGGGGATTTGGATAGGTCGAAGGGGGAGTTGTCAAGTCAGAATGTGAGGCTGATGTGGATGATGGTTTCAGCAAGAGCAGATGGCAAAAAAGTGGTGGTTGTGAGATGTGCGGATAGAGATTAGAGGTCCTGTGGAATTGAGATATGGGAAGAGAATAAAAGCTTGGGATAAAAGTTGACTCCAAGTTTATGCACACTACGCCAGTGCAACGTCAGTTTATAGCGGGTGCTCGCTCAAACTGGAGGCTTTGGTAAGTTAGGATGTTTCCCATTGAGGAGCACTTCAAGATATGGCAACATTTAGCTGGAGAAAGCTGGAGCGAATCGAAGGTGAGGCTGCGTAATGACACCATGTGAGAGCAGACAGTGATTTTGGAATCTAGCCTTTTTCAAATTGCGTGGGTGGGAGGTAAATCGTTGCTTATCGGTATATTTTTTTTTATTATCTAAGTTTGCGTGAACTTTTATTACGCATTAAAAAAATGCACAGGCAGTCGGAACGCTTGAATACCATTTCCTAAATCTTGGTAAGCAACAGCTGAAAGTTGAATTTGTAATATTTCCTTTTTTCCAGTAACAAGACACAGGACAGGTCAACCACCTCCTCCTCTTTTGCGCTCACCCCAGCCTCGGCCTGTGGCCGAGCGGCGGCCGTGTCGGCAACATGCTACCCGTACGAGCACCTGTTCGCGCTCGCCTTCCCGCGGGCGGCGGTGGGTGCCTTTGTCGACCGCAAGTCGGCCGAGTTGCGCGGCTTGGACGGCTCCCACCACAGCGGCTCCCCCTGCGGAGTGGCGCCGTCGCCACTCGACGTCATCGATGTGCTCATGCAGAGGGGTGGCGACGTTCACGCCAAGGAGCTCAGCCGGTGAGGGCTCCGGCGCTGGCCTCGAACGCCGCTAAATGCCAGGAATGGTCGCGAGCACGCCCTGTGGTCCTAGAACTCGGAAGGCAGTGGTCGGTGGTGGATCGCGTGCAGATTTGTGAAACTCCCAAACTCATTACTAGGCTGCGAGGTGGCGAGGAGATATCGATAATAGAAAATGTTTATTGTGAACTTGTCTGGGCTGATCTTATAAATGTTAACCACTTGTATTGTTGTCGTTTTCTTTAGGTACTCCAGTTCACTCCCTTATGTTACACAAAACACTGCTGTACATTGAATTAGCCACACATTGCAATTGATAAATGACGTTTTTACACTCCGGATATTTTATTTTTTCTAATTTTTTTTATTTCGTGTTGTTACTGGCTCCTGTGTAGGCTGTCTCTCCCCAGCCAAGCGGCAGACTGGACACACTTTGGAGGTGCGGCGTGATGAATATATTTCAATGAAAAGCTACATGTTAGCAAATGCATCGTGGCACCAACAAAAAAATAGCAAAGTACATAATACGTGTAACGCCTTTTTGAGTATTAATCTCCCGAGTTTAGACTCGCGTAAGAGTTGTGTAGGCGGTGGTGAAAACGAAAGACAACTCAAACTGACGATTAGTTCTCGTCGATGCATACCTTCGCCATGTACTCTGCTGGGCTGTCCAAGACTAGTTTGAAGCTGAGTGAGGAAGAGAAAAGAGTTTATAAGTTTCTTCGAGGCATACCAAGCGGTGCTTCAGTGACATCGCCAACTAACATGGTTGCGTTAAAATACACGGCAGCCTTCTTGTTTTGTACGGCATCTTCAAATCGGTGGATGACTTTAGTTCGGTCAATTTGAGCTTGGATATCCACTCGGGCTTTTGGGATCGTCAGACGGATTCCATTTGTACCTTTTTGCAAAAGGTAAGTGGCGGGCGATGATTGGTCGATGCAAGCGGTGGATTTCACTTTACCGCACGACTGCTTAATTTTTCCCAACTTCTGGAGGAGGAAGCCACGCACACTATGACATTGTCGTTTATTTGTTGCATCTTCAACAAATAATGTATGGGGGTAATGTCACCGAAGTGCTACGGCGAGAATGGAACATTTAAGAGGACGTCCGCTGGGAAGATGGAGCAATGAAATCTGCTTGTTTCTCGGTGCCAGATGGTTTTTTACATTTCAGGATCATTAGGAGGTTTGGAAAAGACCATGTAGCTGTGGATTGATCATAGCTGATGGTGATGACTACGGTAGCACACCGGAAAGCCATTGAGAGTAGCTCTTCTCATTCGGCAAGCTTCGAACTTGTGTTGGACAGCCTGAAGACACGCTGCCTAGGTGTGTCTGCTGCAAGATAATATTTGTATTTTTTCTTTTGAGGGTGCATTTCCTGACACGAACAACAACGAAAAAAATGGCAAAGTATGGCACGCTAAAAAAACAAAAGACTAACTTGAGACCATTGCCGATATGACTCGCGCAGGCTCCGTTCCCCCAGAGGAGATGCACCTTCTGCACAGCCGCCTGCACCTGCTGCATGCGCAGCTGCTCTACGAACGGCACAAGCGTGAGCAGCACGCCCTGCGCAACCGTCGCCTGCTTCGCAAGGTCATCACCGCCACCGCGCTGCAGGAGCAGAACGCCGCCATGGTGAGAGTGGCGGCGCGTGGAGACACACAGGAAGAAGTCTTCTTTATTTTTTTCTTCCAGATTTTCCAACGAAAGTTGAAAGTGATTATACATACATGAAGTCATATTCTTGGTTCTTTCGGTAACGTCACATAGAAGGGAAATAATAAAATAATAAAAATTCAACAATCAAATTTTCACGACGTCTCGATTGCAACACAAGCAATCAATCAGCAGGTGTGAAAACCACATGAACTCATTTCTTTACAACCGATTTTTGGGTTTCAGTTTGTTGTGCTTCCCCGCACCTCTGATTAGCACGGTTGGCTACGTACGGTGCGAAAGAAGTTTAACGCACATACTTGATCCATTAGCTCTTTCTGTCCCATCCATGAGAGGCGTCTTCACAATAATTCTCTTCACGATACCTCTCATGAAGAGGATTAATTCTGCACAAGATGTTAGCGTCAAGTTGTATTGCTATTCAGGTCTTACCGTGAACAAAACTTGCTCAATTCGTGGAACGGTTGCCTAAAAACTTGGAAAAAAAAACAGTGCTACAAGGACCGCTATCCGAACTCTGTTGTCTTGTGGTGGCCGACACGTACTGCTTCCTGCGCGTACCTGGCTGGAGCGCTAAAATTATCGTCGTCACTAACTAAATGTTTAATAGCGTTACACAACCATGCATCTGCGTGTTTTTTTATTGTCTCTGTCGCCTCTGCTTTACCAATGCCAGTCTCGCCACTTTGCCGCCGCTGCGCTCAGAATCGGACTTTATTTAGACAGCTCATCGGATTTCTCCTCCTGAGATGAAGCTCTTTTTGTCACACGTCCAGTAGGGGCAGGGTCGGCAAGGTACAACAAGAACTGCAGGAGTGCGAATTATAGAAAAGGTCAGCAAGTCACTAAAAACAAATATGCATAAGTACATACATTCCTTCTCTCCCCGCCCCTTCCGTGTGGCACCGCGTCCTGCAGAGGGACCAGCTGCGCCTACAGGACGAGGAGATCTTGGTGCTGCGTCGCAGCCTGACAGAAGAGCAGCAGCGGAGCCAGCAGCAACGCATGGAGAAGGAGCAGAACATGGGTTTCTATCAGGTGCAGCTGCGCTCCCTGCAGTCTGACCGTGACAGTCTGTCTGCCAGCAACCGTGAACTGCAGGTAGGCGATGGTCGATTGATTGCATGCACTTTTCTGTCCAGAGTTTCTCGTCGTTTTTAGAGTCGCTTGCTCACCGGCGGTCAGTTGCCTCATCACTCTCCTATTGCTTCTACCGCGGTTACTGTGCCCCTTAAGCTGCGCTCATTGATTCATCCTTCTGAAGTGCGGTGAGTTTATGGGCTCATACCAGTCCGCAATTACTGCACAAAACCAATACTTAATTTGGCTAAATTGCAGGTCCTGAGATAATTTTTTTGGACTGATTCTGGTGGGAAATTGCTACCCCTACTGTCTAGACCAGTGCTTGGCTTAACACACAGGCTTTCGTGACCAATATTTTTCCATAATTGGCTTTGTCGGGTGGTGGACGGTTTAACGACATTTATGAAACCAGAGCTCGTTTGACGGGATCCCATATCCGAGAGGCAGCTCTGTGATATCTACTTCTGTTGGCCGTTCTCTTAAGTGTTATACTGATCCTATGGGAGAAACTAAAAAGAATGTCGTGTTTGGTGCGTGTCTGGCAGTGCAAGTTGGACGAGACTTACAGGGATGTGGTTCGACTCAAAGTGGAACTGCAAAAAGCCAACTGCAAGGTGTACGACACGTTCCATGAGCTCCAGCGTCTGCAGGAGAAGGTGGGTGTGGACAGCAGCAGGTTCTGTTTCATGTCGTGTCGGGCACATTTTGCGTCTTATCAGACGTGTCCGGACTGTATTGGGGCACGGTGGTTGAGCGCATGGCTCGCAGTCAAAAGGTAGCAAGATGATTAAGCGAGGTACCACTGTGGGCAGTCGGCAGTGGTTGTCCTATGGATTAACTGAACCTCCGTCGTAAGAACGTGGCATTTTCACCAAGAAGAAGATTAATTAGCGCATAACTTTTTGGGATGAAAGCCACCGACAATTGGCAGATTTTTCTCAAACAGCCCTCTACTTAACTGCAATGAGTCGTAGGCTGTCTGATGAGAGTAAAGCAGCTTCATTAACAAGCAGGAATAATCGGTCGAGCACACCGTCGTACATTGTGCATTGACGTATCGTGGCTTTGAGTGCCGTAATGACACTCCGATTTTTTTTTTATTTAAGTCTCATGCTTTAACAAGGAGCCGTTTGTTTTGAGCCCGGCATCTTCCTCCTCTATGTGACCGCACGTCCTGCCCTGCGTGCTTGCGTGCGTAACCGTGCGGGTGTTGCTCTCGCAGCTGCAGTCCAGCGAGACTCTGAGCCAGCAAGCGGACATGCTCAACCGGCAGCTGCTTGTGCTCGGCGAGCTCAACGAACTGTACCGCGAGGAGCTGCACAACATCAACCACTACGCGGACAAGGTGAGTGCGCACTCTGTACGTAATAATCATCGTAATCAATGAGGTCGCGGTAAAGGCGAGCCTAACAATTGCTTGCTCGGGACGTTGCTTGGCGGAAGGGTCTCAACTAACAGGGGAGGCTCGAGAGGGGCCCCTCCAGAAGCTGCGTTGGAAAACGTCACAGAATTAATTCCTGTCCTTAATTTGGTGGTTTTATTTCTTTCAAGTTGCCTTTCCAGCTTGTCCTGAATAATTACAGCTGTTACTCGAGTCCAGCTTAGGGATGTTTAGCATGTAAATTGAACAAACAGATGTTTACACGTGCATGTTGTTTAATTTAAGAATCGGAATCTTTATTTAGACTGCAGGGGGAAACCGATGGGCTATGAAGATATTTTTCAGACGTCCAGTATTGGCGGGTCGGCAAGTTGCAACAACAAACAATACAAACAAACGATGTGAGTGCAAAATAGATTTTAAAAAGTAAGCAAGTGACTAAATAGAAATAGTGTGATTTAATTAATTGTATTAGTCCGATTTATCAAGCTTGGGCAATGTAGCAAAAACAACAAAATAGTCCCACACCACACAAATTACACAGTCCCTGAATAAAATGGTACATGGACATTGAACTATCGATACACAGGTTGGTTTTCTACTACCAAAGACAAAGATCCCCCATCTAGCCCAAACAGACTTGGGGAAAGTGCTGTTAGGGAGCACTTATCAAGGCCGGCACGGCACACGAGGGGGCGGGTGGCCAGTACCACGCTCGGCCAACTTTGTTGCCCCAGCGGAGATGTTTACACACAGCACGAGTTACTCATTTGAGGCTGAGTCGACATAGGGGAGGCCCAGGACCAGTTCAGATAATCGTCACCGGTGTTGACCATGAGCAGGAATCTACCACGGGTCGCCGGGTTCGTAACGCAACGCGCTAACTGCTACACTACCGCTCACTACCACCACCCTCCTGCCGTCGGCGTTGCTCAGGAGGGGGAGATGTGCTTGCTGTCGCACCGCCGCGAGCTGGAGAAGGCGCGCCAGTGCATGCGGCAGCAGGCGCAGCGTGTGGACGCGGCGAGTCGGCGCATCAATGACCTGGAGAACAGCATCATGGCTAAGGACATCCTCCTCCTGGAGCAGAAACGCTTCCTTGAGAACGTCAAAAACCAGGGCAGGTGAGGTGGGGTCCCGGGTGGCTCGGAAGTGGGGGCATTGAGCTGGTGCGACTGAGAACCTGGGTTCAAATCCCGGACGGTTGCATGTAAAAAATACTTGGTTATGAAGTGGCTTGATTGTCTTGGCCACAATAACCATACACACACATGTAAATATCATCATCTGCCATGATCAATCCACTGCTGGAGGAATGCTTCAGCCAAGCTTCCACCATCTCTCATGATGCTTCAATGCATTTGGCACCGATTAATTATTTGCAATTGTAATTAAATTTCATATTTAAATAACACCCACATTGAGACACTGCCCGTCTCTGCGAGCATGGAGGGTTCCTCAGCACGTGGTGCTGCTTTCTTCTCGCAGGAGCCAGCAGCAGGCGATGGAGAGCAAGTACAAGGCGCAGAAGAGGATCAACCAGGCGCTGGAGAGCCACATGCTGGAGCTCTACAGCTGCCTGGAGGTGCTGGAATCGCCCGCTGGTTTCAAAGACCGCCCGTGAGTCTCGCGTACATGCATACGCATGAACACCTGAGCACAGCTCCAAAGGCCCTAAAACATGAAGCTGACGGCAACAAAACAAGCAATAAATGAGTTGTGGTATACCGTAGTGAACTGAAGCTGCTATGGCTATTTTAATAGGGCTCTGGGTCATTGTGTTTTGTTTTCTCGTGATCTCTCTTGTAATATTAGTTTTTGCTCCCCGTGAATTTTGTTTGCGATGGCGTGCATGCTTCGTCGTCATCGTAAAGCCTCTTTGCTGTGCAGGAAGGAGAGGGCGCTCGCAGGCAACGCAGCAGACGCCGACTCGGCGACCCCGCTGCCCGACGCCGCTGGACCTGAACGACCGGCCAGCCTGCTGCCCGGTGCACCCATCGACGCCCGTGTGCCCCTCGTTAGTGGTATGACGACACCAACGAACAACAACACCCGCCATTCACCACTAAGTGGCGGTGACGTCACTAAGCGGCGCCTGGGCCAGGCCAGGTGCACTTGGAGGCCACGTGAAGTGTCGGTTGGCTCGCTGACAGGAGTTTACGGGACGGACCCAGGTGCCATGCGTTGACTGGACCATGGCGCAGCGACAACTTGTAGCGGACTTGGCTATGTTACTCAGATACCTCTTGTTCCATTATGCAACCAAACCACGCCGAGGCCGTGCCAAGTCTGGAGGCTCCAGGTGGTTTTTTTTCAGCTTCAGAAGGCGAGCGTGTTGCTGACGTCACATGCAATGAACAAGTCAAGATGCATGTAGATGATGTGGTTACACTGTAGCCTCGCAGCGCACCAACTGACAATGTGCCATTATCCCTGCCCCAGGTCCTACTTGGCCCCAAAACAAGATTCTCATATCTTGTGAAGCCATTGTATGTAGCCATTATAAAAACACTCTGATTGGATGTGCCAATAGAAGAGGGAGTACTGAACTGGCACATCTTTGGTTCGAATATTGGTTTCGTGCCAAATGTTATGAAACGGTGTTCTAGGGTGTAACGAATTGATGTTCTCAGCCCAGTTACCAAAGACTGCACAAATATACCAACGAATCCACACATGCGCATGAATTTATTTGTTTAATATTTGCGTGCGTGTGGCTGCTCCACTACTCCAGCAGATCCGCCGTCCGCTGGCCTGATGGGGGTAGCCGCGAGCAACCCATACCCTGCGTCCCGCAGCTTCCTGGGACAACACACGCGGGAGCTGCTACGCAGTCGAGGAGGCGGCGTCGGCGGCGATGACAACCGGGAGGACGACGCGAGCGCGGACGCTTCGTCGGCGGCCGGCGCGCCTCGTGAGCCGCCCAGTTCCATGGCGGCGCCAGCGTCCGCATCGCACGCTCGCGGGACCACCAGGAACCTTGGTGGGGGTGGGCAGCACCAGCAGCACGCCCTGAATGTCAGGATTCTTCAGCAGCGGGGAATCATGGACTACGACGAGAAATAGCGAGCGGCGCCCCATCAGACATTCCCTGACTTGTCCCCCTCGTGGCAAATTGATGGAATACTTCGGTGGGTTTTTTTTACTGGTGCGTGCTGCTCGTTAGAAAGCGGCATTTTGGAATACTGGTACGAACAAAAAAGGTGCTCTGCGCACTCTGTAACTGATGACGAAACAACAACAAAAAACTCGGTAAAATATGCTTTGTATTTTGAAATAATATCCCAATCTTGTCCCTTCTTTGAGGGCAAATGAAGGTGGTGCCCCCCCTCCCCCCTCGATTTTGTTGACGTTGCCAACCGAGCTTCTCATTTTAACCCGGCTTGTGCATTTAAAGAGAGGCATTCTGACTAAATGTAGCTCCCGAGGTACTGCCACCACAGCTCGGAAACCGTGCAGGATCTCGCAGTGCGCTCACACGCGCGCACTCGCATAGTCCTGACTCGACGTAGCCTTTACGGTAGTCGCGCCCAACTTTGCATGCACTCGCCGATTCGTGTGTAACCTGGTGTAGAAATAATTGCCAAAAAAACCCCAAGAAAAAGCAAAAAAAATACAAAACTGAAAAAAGTAAAAAAAAAAATATGCTGCTGATATAAGGAGGAAAGTGCCAAAATTGTGTTGGAAAGGTTACGTTACACGTGAAGGTGTAATGACCTGGTGCATTGTTCTGTTTGTGTGTGATTTTCAGTTTTTTTGTCATGATGTTTTTTGTTTAATAACATGACTGAACTCTGTCTGGAGATATTTATTGCACATGCGAATTACGATAGCCCTGGAGGTTAATGGAACAGACTGCAGTTTGTCGTTGACCTTGTGTTCTCAACACTAAGGCTCGCCTTGGGTGCGCATTGTGTACAAGAGATGCAGCTTTCTACAAATGTTGGTCACTTTTCTCCTTATGATGATGGGGGGGGGGCGGGGGGTTTGTTCACTTTGGGCTGGCGGTATTTAAGATGTGCGCTTAATGGGTTTTTTCATTTTTGCGGGGGAGGTGGGGGGGGTTATCTCTAAAGCGCTCGCCGTTTTTTTTGCAGTGTCGTTAATATTTTGCTGTTCTGCCGTAACGCGGGAGTGGTTGCCGAAGCAGCCGTTTGCCTGATGTTGCTTTTTCCTCCTTGCGCATCACATGGCAACCAAACTCTTGCAAGCAAAAAAAAAGCTAAAGGAAAAAAAATGCCTCTCCACGTACTTTTAGTCGATGACTGAGCCGAAAAGATTTTGCACTTTAAACATATTTTTTTTCTCTCGTAGCGTCACAGGCTTATGTCCAACACGACAGTTCTCAAGTACTTCCATTCGTACGAGCCCTCTACTGACTTTGGAGTGGCGTCCAGTTGTTTCGACGACAGTATCACGAGAACGTGAAGCGTGCGTGGCTACAGCGCGGAAAATTAGTGTAGCGGGCGTACTCACTCGGCCTTACGTGTCCTCTTCGACGATATGCAAGAGCCAGGTCTGAGGGTGTGTGCAAGGTATTGTCGCTGTACTACCGACCAGTAACCCGGGGCCTGGAAGTGGTTAGTGCCTTGTTTTAGTATAGCTCTTTGCGTGACCGTTTTTATGCCGTGACCGTGCACCAGTTGCTGGTGCCTCCGGCAGGACGGTCCGTCGCTCGTGGCCCGCGGCGATGTCTGCGTGTGCGTGGAGGAGCGCGAAGGAGAGCAAATGCTGCTGCTGCCGTGCTTAGTTCGGCACGATCTGCCTCGGCACAGCAATTTCCACCGCTCGTGCGTGACGTGGTGTACGTTTATTCAAGAACCGTGATGAAGTGAACGCCTCTCGTATAGACGAAAAACAGTGAGAATGTGAAAAGGTGGCCAGGTGGAATCGAGGTCGCTTGATTTAACTCTTGCGACGAACTTCAATTTCGGTGACATAGCAAGTGCATGGTCCGGAGGTCACTTCTTGGAAGAGATCTCAAGTAGTTATGTGATATCCGCTTTTACGAACTGTTCTTTATTCTTATTCACTCTTACAGATGAATGGGCCTCTGTCTCATAACATACCGATAGCGCAGTTGTGATCAAAATTGGAGCAGGGTAGAAAAATATTAACGTGAAAGTCTTGTTTTTCGATGGTGGGGTGGTGAAAACATACTGGGTGAAGTATTTTAACCAAGCTCTAACCCGAACCATAGCCCGACCTCTGCCACTTTTACCGGGACCCCGTATTCACCTTTGAATTAGCTTTTTTTGCTTTGGTGTTTCAAGTGTCCAGGGAAAATTGTTGTTCTGAGACATTTTGTGTTGATAAAGCATATCCAGGACCACTGCCTGACTCGGCTGTACGCGCAGACTTGGGAGCCATAGCAAGCAACGAAGTAGAGCAGCAGAGCTGGTGTGGAACAATTGCATAACGGGAGGTTCACATTGCAATAGTACAGGTCTCTTATTAAGTGTCGCTTAATGTCTGCTCTTGCGTTTTGGCAGTTGAGCGTGTCCAGGGATTGAAAAATAACGGATGTGGTTTGCTACCGGACCTTGTGCATGTGGACAGTTTGCGTTTTTGTGTTAAATTCTTTGTTCCATTTTTGCACGCCCAATCCTTGTTGGTTTTTCAAAAACCTGATATGGCGGTGATCCGTCTCCCCCCCCCCCCCCCCACACAGTATGAAAGGAAGCATTTCAATAAACGAAATACACGCCGTGCACTTTTACGTGTTTATACGACTGATCTGCTTGGAGATGCTGAAATAAAGATTGAATTGTCATGTGTGGTGCTAAAGCCTTTTCAGTTCGCCCTTTGAGAATTTCACTCATCCCTATTAGATAGCGCTTGGACCATAACTTACATTTTACAATACTCGAAAGTACGATACGACTTATTTTAAGCACTTAAATTTAAGTGATATTTGAATGTATTAGGTGGAAGTGTTTGTTGGAGCCATGAATTTTAGAAGGCACTAGCCATCAACTGCATCGGAACATCACGAAGCTGATGTGCCCATCTTAATAAATGGAACATTTAAGACAAACCAACTGGTCTGCGCTCCTTCAACTGACGAATATAACCCATACTGACTCCGACCTAAAATTCTAGATTTGAAGCTTTCGTGACTGCAATGATTCATATTCTTAGGTTTTTTCGGTAAAGTCACGTAGGTAAAACATCAAAATTAATTTAAAAAAAAAGATCACGACGTTTCGGAGGCAACACAAGTCTCCGTCATCAGGTGGGACCTTCACAGCCAGATTAGCTGCATCAAGTGAGGCAATGATTCAAGATGTAATCCCTTAAAAGCGAGTTGAGGGGGGGGGGGAGCTCATCAGAATGTGGTAGCCGACTCCCACCACCATCCATCGCAAAATAATTCCCACATCAAAACGCTACACCATAGAGCTCAATGTATCTCCGACCATGAACACCTAACCAGTGAACTCAAACACGTACACCAAGCTCTCAAGGCGAATTGATATTTTGACTACACAATCCGCAAAGCCATCACCGCAACTGAGGGAAGGAGCCATCTGAGGATCCAATCAAAACCATCACCCTGCCATACATAGGGGTAATCAAAAAGATTTCCAAAATCATGAACAAACAAGATCCAGGTCCAATTTAATACTACATACAATTCGTGATCTGATCCTATCTGTGAAGGACAAGGTTCCTTACATGCAATATCCCGGCGTCTACAAACTAAGCTGTATCTGCGGCAGCAGTTACATTGGGGAAACTCGGCGACATGTCTCGGACTGTGTTCGTGAGCATAAGGCAGATTTGAAACACGGCAGGACCAATTTTTCTGCCGTGGCTGATAATTATTTTAATGTGGCTGGCTCGCACGAAATTGATTTCTCTAAGGCGGTGGCACTTTGCAAGCCTACTGGCGATCAACAAAGATTCGTTCATGAAGCCATCCATATATACAGACAGTTTCAACCGAGACGGAACGTTTTAAACTCAGCAATCATTGGAAAGATGTCATCAACCACTTTGGGTCATGTCTTGACTTGTGTTTTCTTGTCAATCAACCTCCACCGTCAGCAGTATGGTGTGTGGAACGGGGTGCAGTGATTTCCTGGCGGCCTTTGCTGCATTGGCATTGCTACTGCATTGGCATTGCTGCTGCATTAGCAATATTGCTACTGCTGCATATACATTGCTGGTGCTGCTGATACACTTGGGCTCCGCCCATCTCCAAACCTTTGTAAACAGTTTGCCTTTAGAGGCTAACCCCTTTTCCTGATGACGGCCGCTTGTGTTGCGATCGAAACGCCTTGATATTTTTATTCACTTTATTTATTTTGTATTGTTTTTTCTATCTACGTGACTTTACCGAAATAACCAAAGAATATGACTGACGTTGGCTTTGGCGTGGTGGCTAAATGTCTCGACCAGGCGTTTGGCAACTTGCGGCTCTGTAAGGACCACCTTCTTGTATTCACATGCACTGCGGCTCTTGATATTGAGTTTTGTTTTTTAACTATCAAAAAAAATTACTGGTCTTTTAGTTGTCGGTCCCTTGCGTGTAGACTCTTCACGACGGAATGCCAGCTTGCTAAAGGAGGGAGCGCAGAGGATGATCCTTGAGATTGAGTGAATGAAATCAACTTTTGTGGGCGCTGCACATCGTGTTGCATCGCACGACCACGAGATGGCAGCTTGGGGGGGGGGGGCCTTCGTCCATGAGTGGAGCGTTCATATCTGATGGTCGTGACGGCTGAAAAACAGAAGTGTTGAATATATTTACGCCCGCGAACTAAGTGTGGTTTTAAGTGGGCGTTGTGCAAATTTCCTGCCAATTTATATATGGAAAATGTTGTTGAGAAATAGTGCACGGAACATAAAGGACCTAAATTCAAGACGTAAATATTTCACCGAGTGAAGCGTTCACTCGTCCATGAATCATCTCCCCATGTGGAAAACTGTCTCGCTCCATCCACGATCACGACCTTCTGAAGGGCTTATGACATGGGTTTGTAATTAAATTATTCGATGTCACTATACATATGAAATACAAACGGCGACTTGGGCAGCGGAGGAGACCGCACGTGATGATGCTCCATCGTTGAGCGCGTGATGATGCGTTCATATTGCGAAGTTGCAATTGCGGTCTGCGATGTTGTTAACCTAATGGACTCATTTGGTGGTACATGTTGTCTGTCGTTTATTGTGAAATTTCGGTCACAGTTCCTATGATCACTGTTACATTGCTTATGGCTTTATTTGAGTGATTTCGAAAAGTGTTTTGGTTTGGCCATGTTTGTTTGTTGTAGTACGGAGTTAGAATGATGGCTTTAATCTAAGTTGTTTTGTGGTTGTTGTTTGACTTGCATCCCACTGGGATTTTTGCACAGCGTTGGTGTACGGTGCTTTTTTTCTGGAAGACTTTGCAGTTTTTCCCTGTATTTTTCTGTTTGCACATAGTCACATAGTCACTTTAAGATGTTTTCTTGTTCATGTTTTGTTTTTTGTTTGTTGCGGTTGCACCCGATTCAAGAGCCGAATGGCTCACAGGGCTTTACCAAATAAATGAAACTGAATTAATTTGCTTTGATAACGTTTTGTTGTTTGTGATTTTTGTTTTGGTGCCATTTTTTTATTTGTGTATTAATTTGTTTATTTAGCTTGGTAGGAAGGCTTTCGTTTGCTTGGTATGTGTGTTGGGCTTCTTTCGCGCCGTACATAGCCAACCGCGTATATGAGATTTGGTCCTTATATATAATTAAATGTACATCGTTGTGGGATGGCCGTTGGCATGAATGACGTGAAATAAAATAAAGGTAGTATACTTATTAAGATGTTAACCAGCTGAAGGGTTGCACAGAGAAGATGCTTGGAATTACGGAGAGGAACAATACCGGGCACAAACAAGTAGCGAGATGTCGGCTTGAGGAAAGTGTCCCTTGGGCAGGGACCACGTTGCCGAGAAGATGCTGATCAGTGGGTGTGGGACTGGTGGCGGAAGATCGTGACAGCCCCGGAGGTGGGATGGAGAGTGGCATCGCTGGACCGTGCGGCGTGGGTTGACTCGCGTCTCCCGATGCTGCGGTGACAAAGATCGCTTGTGTGGCCTTTACAGACTGCTGGGGCGAGTGCTGTTAGCGAGGACCTGTGAACTGTGAAGGCCGGTATAGGTGAGAGGGGGTCACAGTAAGGGGGGGTGGGGGGAGGTGGTGTGGGGGTTGGGGGAGGGGGGTTGGGGGAGGAGGGTTGGGGGGAGGGGGTGGGGGAATGGGGTTGGGGGGATGGGGGACGGGGGGAGGGGGACGGGGGGAGGGGTTGGGGGAAGGGGGTTGGGGGATTGGGGGTAGGGGTGGGGGAAGGGGGTTGGGGGGAGGGGTGGGTGATGGGGGGAGGGGAACGGGGGGCGGGGGGGGGTTGGGGGGAGGGGTTGGGGGGAGGGGTGAGAGAGGGGGGAGGGGTGACTTGGATTGCACCTCCGGGACCCCGTCACCGACGCACCGGAAATCCGCTTCGTGGCGGAAGTCCGGCGAGCGCTGTCAACATGGCGGCGCGCAGCAGGTCGGGCTGACGGCTGCGCTCCGCTGCCCGCGAAGCGACGCCACCGCTCGCGGCTACGAAGCCCGCGGCGACCGCGGAATCCCCGACGAGGGCGGCGGTGGGCATCCTTGCTGCCGTTTAACACGGGGGCCGGGGCCGCATGGGGCAGCAACAGGCGAAGGGCGGCGAGGCGCGCAGGGCCACGCTTCCCCGGCCCTTCAAAGCGAGGAAAGACGGAGGGGGGGCGGCTGCTGCCTCGTCCGCCTTCATCATCACCCCGTCTTCGTGCTCCTCCTCCGTCGTGGTCGTGCCCTCCTCGTCGTCCTCCTCGTCCTTGTTTCCCGGAGCCACGGGGCGTCACTCGGCAGCCGCGACGCCGTGCAATGTGTTCGAGGAGCATGGTGAGTGGTCCCGGGCGAGTTGAGCGAGGTTCTTCACTTTGCAGGGGTCCTACGCGAACCCAGCTAGACATGTCCTGGGAAGAGGAAATGTCTCGCGGTAGCCGTAACCTTAAGGGCAGCAAACACTCGCCAACCCACACCATAAGATCGATAACACAACTGCACTCGCAAACCAGATCATAGCCTTTAACACGAGCGTACAACATCTGAGCCCTAACACTGGCTATGGTAGACTACCAAACAATAGCCCTAATAGTAACTAAATTAGCCGACCAGATTGTAGCCTTATCACTAACCACACGAGTCAACCCGACCCTAGCCCTAACACTAGCCACACTTAGGATTTACACCTCAGAGGAACACACAAAACACGCCGCAATGGAAAATTACATGAATATAAACTCATGCGTGGTTATGGAGCATTGTGGATGAAGTATAAACACAACTCTTCTTCTGTCTCCATATAAACATAGTACCAATATGTTTGTGTTTCGTCAGCCTACTGGCGTTCCAAAACTCTGCAGTGTGTGTTTTGTTCCAAGACCTACTGCTGGTGAGACGCTTAATGTTGAAACAGGTCTAGAGTTTGATTGCTTCAAAAAACTTGATGGATAATATTGATCTGGAAAGCCAATCGGCTGATGACTAAACAAGTATTTTTTATTTGTATGTGGAGATACCGAACCGAGTTATACATGTACATGTGTTTATCTTGAGTGGTGTGTTATCATGCAAGTGACGAAACACATCTAGACTTGTTAATGTGTTGGAAAGAAATGTAGATTTAGGAGCAAGCTGCCTTATAAAAAAGGACGATCCTGGGAAAACCAGAACAAGTGGCAACCGCATATATATTTTATTTTAGTCACTGTAGACTGAGTGCATGAAAAGTTATCGAGCATGATAATGAATACCACTATCCACCAAATACCTAAGCGCGACGAGATGAAATTAACGAGTCACAATGAAGATGCAGACTGAGATTATTAAGTAACTTTATTCGAGACTGCAGTGCACCGAGGAAGACCAAGCATAGCACATTCACTGCACTGTATATGTATATAAATCATATTTACTGAGTTCACTAATTAGCCGTCCAGATAACATTGAAAGGGGGTGGGGGGGAGATGCCTGCCGGCTAACTAAGAATGGACATATTAGTTCGTTGGACTTAAAGTATGGCAATTATATCCACAGACTAAGACTCGGCGAAAATGTTGCAGGGTCTCAACCAAACTAAGACTTTGACGAACATGACTGGAGACCCGCTGACCACAGGGTGAAGGTTATGGTTTGAGTTTGTGTTAGAGGGACGAGAAAATGTTTGTGGTTAGAAAAACCTCGCGGAGCGGATAATTGGAGGAGATAAGATGAAAGTGGTGGTGGTGTCTCACTTGTTGTGGTCTTGGTTGGTTTTATTATTGTTATGCATTGTGGTATTCGAAGTTGTGGAAGTGTGTGACACCTGGTATAATATATCTGCAGTCAAATCATCTGCATATTGTATCATCTACAGCAGCAGTAGCATCTGCTTAGCAATTAACAAAAGCAGCAACAACATCCGTATATCATCGTCGTCATGACCAATGTGCATGCACACATGGAAGCATATAAGTACAGTACAAGAGTGGATTTTGCTTCACTGCCCTCTACTGCCAACCAATCTACCCCTGGAAGTCCCACGACAACTACGTGGTTGTGTGTGGCCACCCATCCAAGAGCTGTACACGCTCAACCATAGCTCTCTTACGAGCACAGGCATGGACGATACGTTTCAAACAAGACGCGAATGTGTAAAATGTGTTAAGAGCGCCACACATTGTCCATTATGCAAAACGCTATTAGAATTGTTTTAAAGAAGTGCTTTGTGGTCTTCTTTTCTTAGATCACCATCAATTAAGTTTCAGCAAATGTGACGACTGAGAGCAGCTGTGATAACTGGACTGGTGTCATCCGAATTAGGATTCATCAGCACAGTATCGTCACCAATGCTCACTGCTGCAACATTTGCCTCTGCAGAATATGGCATGGGTAACTTACAATTTGCGAATTTTGTCTTTTAAATTAGCTGTGGCTTTTGACTGAGTCTTGATGGTGTAGCAGCAGACATCATTGTCTTAACTAGTACTGCGCTTATCGGGGCTTTTGCCTTCCGCATGCAAAATACATTGTGTTCCAATTGACCATTACTAATTTCTTTCTGATTAGTTTCTGCTATTCTCTATTATTTTTGTGCTGTAACTCGAATGTTATTCAGTGAGAGCAGACATTGTCTCAAATCCCAATTACGAGACACATCGTGCTTGCCTAATCATAATTGATGTTGCCTTTGTTATTTTTACGATTTGTTTTCTTTTTGTATTTTGCTGTCGATTCAGATAGCATAAAGATGTGCCACAGTCGTCCTGGCTTCATGGAGCAGTACTAAGCCAGCTGCCTGTGTCTCCACTTGCAAGACATGTTGTCCTAATGGGCTCACAATGTAGGATTGATGTATTATCTCTATATATGTTTCCTTTGTGTGTGTGTGTGTGCTGTTGCATTAGCAAGTCCGATAATATGGCACTACAACCCGTGTCTTGAGTGAGCACTGAGATCGCACTGAGCTTCTGTATCCTACTTGCAAGCGGCATTATTCTGTCGAATTATTAGTGATTTTACTTTTCTTATTTTGTACTCATTGTTGGCAGTATTTTCTGTTTCTGATTGCGTGACGAAGACATGGAGCAGGAGTAAGTCACCTGCCTCACTCTCTCCGCTAGCGAGAGAGCTTGTCCACATGGGCTCAGTAAGGGTTTTGTGAATTTCCTTACATTTCCTTTGTGCGTTTCCTGTTGTTTCAGTAAGGCTGATAATGTATGTCACACATTGTGTCTCTCGTCACGACTAAGTCTCCCACTTAGACGAAGCACTTTGCATCCCAATAGGCTATTACCTGCTTGATTATTTTGAAAGGTTTTGATCTCTTTTATATGTCGCCTTTGATGTTTGCTGCTGTTGCTACTGCTGCTTCAAAGATTGAGTTTGATGCTGGCAGACAGCACATAGGGCTTCACAGTGCAGCACTACTAAAGTTTCGTGCCTCTTGAAAGAGACATTGCGCCTCCTAATGGGGCCCTCACCTTATTATCGATGTCGAATTTGATTGATAGATACGAGCAAGTTAGGGGAAGTGAGGTCACTGTTGTGCCCGGATGCTCTCCGGGATGGCCCACGAGTCCCCAGTGTTAAATTACCATTACCGAAAGAACCAAGAAGATAAATTACCATTCGTTATCAGCATTCACAAAGGGGGATACTTGATAGCTGGACTACAGTGTGCGTAATGAGATTGTGTGCACGCCCGCTTGTGAGTTCAAGGACAGGCAGTCTGAAAATGAATCCTCGGAGGATATTCATCATCGTCATCAGCCATGATCATCGATCCACTGCTAAATGTCGACGGCCTCACCACGCCAGCGCTGTCTCTCACAGTCCTGGGGTGCCAACAATCCACCTAGCACACGAGCTGATTGCATCGCTCCGTTCTCTGCAGTGCTCATCCCCGTGGCGTGTTCTCTCCTTTGGTTTCCACTCCATCAGAGGTCTTCATTTGTTTAGTGAACTCGACGTACACGCGTATTGTTTTGCTGCACAACGTGTCTTTTTTCCCAAAGCTGCAGCCTCCTTTGTCAAGGTATTTCATCGTTATTAAAACCCAACTTCAAACCTTCTGAATTGGCTGTCGGGTGGCGGCGGGTTTAACGACACATTTATATTTACGCGCTCTAACCCAAAACAACCTCTTATGAGGCAGTCTGATAGAGATTTCATGTGGGGAGACGCTCTTTCCCCTAAAGTTAGTCCCAGAGACAGTGGGGGATGTTTCCCCACAATTGGATCGGAGAAAATAAAGGCATGAACCAAAAATAAATCGAAATGATTTAAACATTAAATATTTACTTATTGCAGCCGTAGCTGCAACAAATTGAAACGCAACTTTCAAATGACTCGTCGAACATTTGTATTTCCATCGGAAAAACATGTCATTTTCATCACGCACACTTAAATTTATTTCCTTCCTTTGAATATGAAATGTTAACCAATGGCCACATTACAGTATTTGTTTGACTTTCTGTCACGTCCGTGGCCCAGATCACTCTTGCACATGAGTACTAACCTTTCGCTCGTTCTCAGTCGGTTACACGTTTAAATGAAGCAAAAAAACGCATCAGCTGACAAAAAACAATCTGATATGCCATGGTTGGAAAACTGTTTTGCGGTTTGCACATTTTATTTGTGGGTGACGGCTGGAACAGGGAAGTGTAATATTTCCATGTGTCTATGCTTTTTTGTTGAATGCTTCAAAAAATAAAAAAACATGCACCTGTGATTTTGGGAAATAGACCTCAGCAGTGTTGTTTATTGGGTTATGTAATTCGTGCTTGTTAGGATGTACGCCCACAGTGCATAACAGGTGTTATAGGCTGCAGCGGGACTGGTTGGCATCAGAGGGCAGTGCTGCAACATCCATTGTTGTACCATACTTCTGTGCTACCACGCTGATGCTCGACGCATTCGCCAAACTCTCGACCACCGTGGGGAAGTATGGCCAAATGATTCCCATGTTACTCGGCGAAGGGAGGCCCTCATCCAGCAGTGGATTGACAAAAGGGATGATATGTTTTGTCGTTGAGGAATGTCGACCCTTTTTAAACGAATATTGTAAAACATAAAACCAATCTAAATATAGATGGTGTGATTTTATATAGATTGCAGCTTTTCTATCTTTAACTAAGGACTTGCCAACAATGAGTCACCATTGTAAAATTATTTTCATTAAGGGTGTCACGTTAGTCACTCCATGGCGATTCGGTGAATCGTCGTGGTTCATCGTTGTGAATTTATTTGAAAATCAATTATTTGTTCACACACGAAATCGATGCGTGATGCAATAGCACACTTGATAATCTTGATTCATTGTGTGAATCTGCATAGTTACAACCAATGGCGGAGCCAGG